TGGTTTTCATATTTTAAAGTCTATTTGTTCCCCAAAAGGAAACCCCAGAATTTTTTAACTTGGGAAAGGGAAAAAAAAAAGACGGGCAAACCCCCCATATTCCCAATCTACCCATATTTAAATTTTCTTTTAAAAATTTTTTCCAAAATTTTTGGGCGTTATGCGGGATCCATTTTTGGTGGACGGACGGACGGAACGGCCCGGAGGGGACAGACAAAGGGGGAGCCGAAAAGGAAAAAGGGGCCTTTTCCTTTTTTTTGTTATTTTCAAATTTTGTTTAATGAGGGCCAAGGGCCCCCCTTATTTCTATGGTTACGGGAATAAAACTTTTATTGCCTTTTGTTCTGTTTACATTAGAGGGCCCTCTACCCATTTTCGGAAATGGGGGAGGACGGGAACGGAGGGACGGGAACGGACGGAGGGTAAACCAAAAGGGTCCCCCCCGGTTTAAACCCCGGTAGGGGATAAAAAGGGGTTGTGGCCCAAATTTGGGGGCCCGAACAAGACCCGGGGTTTGGAAGCAACCCCAAAAACCATTTACCCAAACCAAAATCCCTTTTAAATTTTTGGATTGGGTAATGACATAAAATTCCCTTTAAGAATAATAAAAAGGGTTTTTAAAATGAGGAGGGACCCTTTTTTCCCTGAAATAAAAAAACCCTTAACCCGGTAATTTAAGGGGTTTTAAGTTTTTTTAATTTTTGCCTCCCCCACCCCCAGTTTGGATTCCAACTCTCTGTTTTAAAATGTAATTTTAGAGTTTTCCTTTAGAGAAGGGAGGGGTTTATTTTTTTTTAAACAGATTTTTAAGGGGCCTTTTTTTGGGCCAAAACATTTCCCTTGCAACTTATATTAATCAGTCCACTTCCTGGAACTAGCCAGTGCTGGTCTCATATGAGTAAACATGATCGTCACTTGAGTTGAGCCCGAACCCATGATCCTTAACCACATGGTCACCACTCAACTCTATGATGTCTGATGAAGAGAGGGAAATAATTCTTTGGTGAGGGACCCGTGCAATAAAGAGCCATTTGGGAGCCATTAATCAAAATTGTATTAGAAATAAATTTCAAATGCTTATCTCCTTGATTTTAAATTTTTCCCTTTAGCAGATAAAAGAGGAAAAAAAAATTTTTTTCAGAATAGGGATTTTAAGAAAGGGTTTAAAAGACTCTTACAGTTCTTTTACTAAGTTTATTAACAACCCCCTTAAACATTTTAGCAAATAAGGGCCTAGACTTCCATCGAGTATGAATAAACAGTTTTAATTGTTGAATTAATGAACAAATTGTTTATGCAGAAGCCTGAGAATTTTGACAATTTTGAATTTCAGCCTCACACAGTTAAGAAAAAAAGTGCAGTCAAACAAATATCAACATAACATCTTGCAAACATACTGCATTACAAATAAAGATCAATTATGGAAAATAATTTAGTTGATCAAATCTTTTCAACCTTTTTAATGGATACAAAACAATACATGATTTTAATATTTTATAGCTTTAAACATTCACCATGATATTTATCTTAAATGGACATTTTTTTGGAAAATTTTAAAATAAATTGAGCCGTGTCAAGACAAAACCAACATAGTGCGTTTGCAACCAGCATGGATCCAGACCAGCCTGCCCATCCACGCAGTCTGATCAGGATCCATGCTGTTCGCTTACCAACTCTATTACAAGTAGAGAAACTGATAGCGAACAGCATGGATCCTGATCAGACTGCGCTGGTCTGGATCCATGCTGGTCGCAAACGCACTATGATGGTTTTGTTGTGACAGGCTCATATCTTTTGACTGACTAGCAAACAGTGCAGACCATGATCAGACATCACTGATGGTGCCAGTTGATCTTGATCTGTATTGGTTGCATGGGGAGAATCTGTTGCCGCCAGCAGTCTAGAGATTAACAAAGTAGATAATTGCTCCTCAACTATTTCTGTCAAAAAAGTATACGAAATCATATATAATATTTTCCTACTGTCACTGTGAATGAATTGTTGCTATAAAAATAGAGTGTAACAAATAATAAATATATTAATAAGCTAGAGAAAAATAGACTACATCCTAGCACGATTCCACAACCACTATGTGACAAGAAAAAAAGTTGTTCATGTACAATGTAAGTATAAGGTATAAGTAATCAAAAACATCATGAAAAATAAAACAATATCAATATAGCGCCTCTTCTACATAAGCCCATTACCTATGATATATAAAGTATTCTCTGTTTAAAAAAACACTATACTAATTGTAGTCTAGTCAAAAACAAAATTAAATTCTGAAATATCTTTAAAGCTAGGACTGAAAACAGGGTCTTTTAAATTTCCATTTGAAAGACTCTGCTGAAAAAAAAAACACAAACAAGAACAAAATAAAATCACAATAACAATGTATACATGACCTGACATGAAGTGTCATTACATATAAACATAGAAATAAGTTAACAAAAATGTTATGTCAATTCCATAAATGTTAACATGAAAACTACAACATGTGTCAGATTATTTTATCAAATAATACTGAACATTACTTAGTATGTGTACATGTACATTATTTGATGGCAGCCAAACAAGGATTTTCCATGCACATGAATAAGTGCTTTTGAAAAAGTCTCGGAAATTGTCTTTTGTTTGTTTAATATTTCTTTTCCACTTAAACTTTCCAAATGACACACACATTTATACTCTTGATTATTGTGAAATTAAATTTGCAGTTGACCAATGACTTGCAAATAAATGTAGACAAATATTGGTATGTAAATTTTGTATCAGTTTAGAGTAAGATGAGAAAAAATGAATGATTACATGAAAGGAAGACTAGATTGAGCAGGCCTAAAGGTTATAAAACCGTTTTTTTAAGTTATGTTTCGAATCTCATGATTTTCATTGGTCATTCTGTGGCAGTTTCTGACTAATCATATACCTCGTCCTAAATTTAGGGAATTAATTTATAGCCCGAGGTTATTAAACATCTTTATTCAGAGATCTGTTGTCTCAGATATCTGGGTTTTTATTAATCAGTGCACATACAGCACTGGTCAAAAGCTTTAGATCTTAGTTTGAGATTTGAAAAACAATTGTAACCTCCTTCCTTGTTAATACAATGTGCTGTTCATCCAACATTGAAACAAAAAGTGTCACATGCTACTTTTGTTGTGTCAGCATTCTAACTAATAAATAAATCATACTAGAATAAGTGTTAATATTATTATTATTATAATTAATTTAGTAGCACTATTCTAATTTTACAATATTCAAGTAAAAAACTATTGCAATAAAAAGAAATGACAGGATTTGATATATCTATTAAAACAATTATTGTCAACATCAACAGCTTATACTTTCAATAAATAAAAATTCTAATTTAAACTATAAGCAGTTAATCACTTGCAAGGACATATAACAATAACATTTAAATTATGTTTTATTACATCATATTGGATTTATTCAAATTGGATGTGATAAATCAATTAAAAGACTTTATTTATGTATAATATTCAACATGTATCATTATGCTAATTAAAAAAGTAATGCTAGTATTTGAAGTTGAACAAATTAAGTGATATATATCATTCTGATATATGAGGGCTGATTAATAAATTCACGGAATTGTATTATTTCTTAAACATTAAAAGAAAAACTAACAAATAAATTACACCACAAGATACCTGACAAAAAGCCAAACATATCATTGAGATATATTGAACAATAAAATTTACATGCAAAATCAAAACACTACACTTTAAACATGCTGATGCAACGTTGTCACACACTGACGTCATTTAAACGTCAAAGTCTAATGTCCGGTTCACTTTTTCTACGTAATTACCCCCCATGGCGACACATTTCTTATGCCTGTGTATCCATTGGTCAAAAGTCACTTTAAACCAGTCTGAACTGAACGATAAAACTATCTTGCGCGCCCTGGTAACAGTTATATTTTTTTTATTTTTACCTTTGAATAATATTCTGCATTTACTGTTGATACCTCTCGCATCTTGTGTTATAGCAGATCATGCCTATCAATGAAGTATATGTTCATTTCCTTCTTGGCACTTCGCTGAACTCAGCCTTTTTGAGTGGAGGTGTGTCAGGTGACTTCCAAATAGAGGACTGGTATTTGGATATGGGATAATAAAAGTACAGCCATGTCTTGTCCGTGGACACAATACTGTCTAAAAAATCTTCACAATGTGCCTAGTAACGCTTGAGAAATTCTCGAAAACACTGCATGCACTTCTGTCTATCGACTTCTGTCAGAATGCGGGGTACCCAGTGAGCGGCAAATTTCAACATGTTGAGCAGTTCTGTAAGAATGCGTTGCACAGCATAATAAGAGAGATAGTTATTCAGCTACACCCTGCACCGTAACGCGCATGTCAACATCCAGCAGTTCTTTCACTAAGGCTGTCTTTCCAACAGTAACTATAGACGTCGACCGACCAGTTCTTACGTCATCATCCACGGATGTTCTTCCTTCTCCAAACCGCTCATGCCATTTATACACAAATGTCTTTCCACTAGTAGGCAATGTTTCCGAATTTTCTATCTTTTTAAGAGTTTTGCTCGGTGGAAGTTTCAGTCCCACACAAAACTTGATGACAGCATGTAATTAAATGTCGTCTGCTGACATAATTCACTGTTTGGTAGACATTGCTGCTGCGAAACAACCATTCAACCCATCATCTTTAAAATTACAGGAAATGACGTAAAGACGTCACACTAACGTTACATGCATAAGCACCAAATTTGATTTAATTTTCTTCCCGCAGTGACATTTTTTACTTTATCATGTATACTTTAAAATACAGCATGCTTCAAGTCACAGGACAGTGGTTTCTATGGACACAGTGTATTCGTAGGAAAATTTTGATATATATTTGGCAATATTGAAATGTAATTGCATTTTGGTTTACCTCTATTTGAGTTTTCATGTTATTCAATAAAGTAATTTGGTTTTTAGAGGATAATTCTGTGAATTTATCAATCAGCCCTCGTTCATGACAATAATAGACGCTTTGTATTTCTAGTATGCTGATGTAAGGAAATAACTAAAATACTGAGATTTCTATTTTTGGTTACGATTATTTCTTTGCATAAAACAATAACAGTTATTTCTATTTTATAGTTTGTTAAAAACTAGCCAGAAGAGAACTGTATTGTTGTACACATGTCCCTGATAGTTTTATGGTGGTTTTTGTGTTCGTCTATATAAATATCCAGTATAATGTTGTGTACATTATGGTCGGTCACCTATACCCCCAGCAAGGTCATAAGCTGCCTGGCAAACCTCATTAGCTAAGGTGTCTGCTGCTTCCTGTGTGTCAGCTTCAGCATAGATTCTGACAATATCCTCTGTTCCAGAGGGTCTGTAAAATATTAAAGATCATTTAATAATTAATAATACAAAAAAGTGCTCAAAATGGTCTTACTATTAACAACTATACAAGTAACTTTAGCGATCTACGTTTCAGTATTTCCTTGAATTCCAGACAATCATGAAACAAGTGTTTAACAGTATGAATGTTTGTTTGATTGTTTGTTTGGTTTAATGGTGCACCAACACAGTACAGGTCACATGGTGCTGAAACAGGAAAGATGATGTTGGCTAACCTCAATTGTTGCACAAACAATTCAAAGGAAGGCCAGGGGTCAAAACCACTTCACCTACCGAAACTAATTGATGCATAGATTCCAGTTATTCGAGCCAGTTGCCTCTTATGACCATGCAGGGATAAATGGTGGCTGCAATTCTTATGTCTCAACCATTAATGGCAACCCTTCAGCCACAAGGGGTGTTAACCAGTTTAAGAAATGAAACTATGATTTGTCAGTATGAACTAATCTGATGCTTGTCTTTATGACTGGGTTGCAATCTAAGAGATAGAAACAATGAAAATAAAAAATCTGAGAAAGTAAAATCCCGAAGTGTTGGTAATCATTGAGGTCAACAGTTTATTTTTAGAGAAGACTCATTGTTAATGTTATATAGTGTACATGTTTGGTAATGATCAAGAAATTGGCATATGAGGAGATGTTTTTTTCACAGATTTCTATTGTTTCTCTAGACTCTGGTGACATCTACAAAGGTACAGGACAATCTTTTTTATGAAGTATTATCCAAGAATGTTATACATGTATACCAACTCAGAAATCATATGGCAATCAGTAAATCATAAGTTGTAAAGGTTTTAGACCATTTTTATCTCAGGTTACCCTTCAAAGACCAAATCTATGTTTATGTCATTAAAACTAGAAATCCATGTAAAGTTGCATCGAAATATGATAAAATGTTAAATTGTTAATGATATTACCTGATTTTTCTACTTACTTTGTCAACAACGATTGCATATATAAACATGTAATGTATTTACCTAACAAATGATCTCGCAGAGTTATATTTCCTCACTAGATTGTCTATGGCTGACTGTAAACCATCTGGACTGATTGCTTGTGTCTCATCTGCTGTTGTTTTTATCACAGTCCTGTCCTTCACCTGAAATATAGTCAAATTTGATGATCAAATTTTTTTGCTTAGCTCTATATATCGTCGGGTGCCCTAAATTCCTCTCTGTCCTAGAGTCAACACCCATACTGTCTATGTCAGAAAGTCTCAACAAATGTTCATTGAGAAAGAAAACAGTTAGGATATTTTTTAAACATCAAAGTACATATAATGTATCAGGCAAATTTCTTCGACATAGAACTTGATTAGAAAATATAGTGTATCAAACTATTACTGTAAAATGCTTAGTAATGAGTCATGGACACAAATGGATAGATTCTTATTTTTAGTTCTGCTTATTTTGCTTTTTTTATTCACATTATATTTTTTTTAATTAAAAAGTTTCAAAAATACACATCTCAATACTATATTATCTAAATATATTTTTGATATCCATAGAAAATCAAGTTAACAGGAATAAACTTTTATACATACATTATTTTAACAGTTAACTAAAGTAAAACTATTAATTTCATATACATTTGTATGAAAATAGTCCAAGATAAACGTTGCAAAGTCCACCAGATACTTGGCAACAACTTCCTTGGACTCGCTGAATAGAAATATGAAATGTTTGAATGTAATTATCTTACCTTAACCTTCAGCTGTCTGTTAGGAAGATCTGTGTAACATGTAAACCAGTCTTCAATGTCCCAACCATGACTACATAAAATCATTTCCACCAATAACATATCTGACATAGCATCACCTACAGTCTATATAAAGAAATGTCAAACCATTACTCACAGTCTATATGTCATAGCATCACCTTCAGTCTATATAAAGAAATGTCAAACCATTACTCACAGTCAATATGTCATAGCATCACCTTCAGTCTATATAACAAAGAATGTCCAAGCATCACCAACAGTCTCTTTGTCACAAATGTTATTGGTCAAGGTGCATGTATGTGAAACTCAAACTGTCTTGATTTAGCTGATATAGGCATGTAATTATAAACCACTCACATTTAAATGGTTAATACCAGCTTGTTGCAACTATTTCCAGCATGATAAATTCATGGCTGGTAGTAGTGATTGTTTTGTAACTATAAGAATGGTAGTAATTTATAACATTTCTACTTAGTTTCACATGCAATTAACTATCAATGCTCCACACCAAAATGACCACACTCTAAACAACTGCTTAAGTTTTTGTTTTCTTTTTCATATTAAAACCCCTTTCAATAACAAACGACATTACTACATTCAAGTCAGGGTAAATTCATTAAATTAAAAGCATTTCTGAGGCATAATGGACCCGAAAGCAGGCTAAGTGTAAGAAATAAAACAGATTCAACTGAATGTAGTTAAGATGAAAATTTGATACTTATTTTGTACTCAGAAATCAGCTTAATTAGTTGGAAATGTTACCTGGTTAATGAGATCAATACTGGTACATAAAGTGTCTGCTGCTCTTCTCTGATCCTCTGATAAACTGTAACAAATCAATCACATCATTTGTATATAACTCGCTGAAACATGTTAAAAAAATGTACCATGTGGACATCATTCAATATATTCACTCTAGAAAACCATTTATATGCTAATGTGACATAGAATACTGTGTAAGTAAGGGATCTTAAAAATACTGTGTAAGTAAGGGAGCTTAAAAATACTGTGTAAGAAAGGGAGCTTAAATATTGTATAGAAATTTGAATAACCAGGTTAAAGCAAAATAGCACTACTGAGGAAGGATATACATGCATTATTTAATATCACAATTTATGAAAATTTATGAATTAAAACAAAATTATCAAAACACAGGCAATGAGAGCAGCATATACTTCCAATTCATTCTTTTAACTTTTTTTAACCTTTAACCAGCTTCCATTCTGAAACTGTCCATTTAGTGTTATCATATTTAGGGATATCAAGATGAGCATATTATGTTGGTCAGCATGTCATATAGAGCCTGGTCAGACTGTGAGGATATACAGGCTGGTCTGGCTTTATGCTGGTAGCTAGTAGCAAAGGCTAGTATTTACTTCTGGTCCAGCAGTGTGAGGGTTAAGACTATCTGGCACTGACAAAGTGGTATGATTATTCAAAACTAGAAATGTGTCCATAGGACACGGGTTCCCCCACACTCTACCGATTTGTCAATCTTATGTCTCTATGTCAAATTTTTTTTTGGGCTACATCTGCCCAAGTTGAAAACTAAAAATCTTGTATTTAGTAAAGGGCAAATACTACAAAATTTTATACTGAATAAATCCACAAGAGAACCCGAAGGTGCATAAGTACACTTGCTGACCAACATTCTTGGAAACTTTCAGGCCTACAGGTCATAAACTTTTTGAGTTACGTGCAACACAAGTTAAATATTGTAAATTTTTACTAAGGTGCACAACTACACATGTTGAGCAACATTCTTGTATGGTTTCATGACTCTAGGTAAAATATTTTGAGCTACGTACGACACAAAAAGGGAATGGACCGACGGATGGATGGATGGACGGACAAGGGTAAATCTAAATGCCCCCCCCTATAGTGGGGGCACAAAAATGAACAATATCACTATGATAATTAAAAAAAAGTTGACACAAAAAAAATCACAAAAGTGTATTTTACACTCAATGAATCAGTCTTATAAAGCACTGATGATTTATCTTTGAACATGCAAGTTAAAAAAGTCATGACAGAAACTTTCAGGTAACCAAATGCACACCTTATAATTTCTGTTGTGTAGCTTATAACAGCATCAGTACAACTTATGAAATCAAGCAGAAAATAAATATTTTAATAATTATGCAGTGGTGATGTACCTGTTATCACTGCAGGCCTGCCTGATTCTGTTCTCAGCATTTTCACTAAACAAAACTGTTCCATGCCCATTTGCCTCAAAATACACACCAACATCAAAATCTAGGGCTTTGGCTTGTAGATACTTCACACCAGTGGCCACACAAGCTACCGGCACTTTCTGTCAATGATAATAAATGTACACCATCCATTTTTTTAAGTTTGATATTTTTTAATCACACTACCACTATGAAAGTTACGTGCCATTCCATACTTAAATACTGTACTATGTAGCCATACTTTTAATACTATAGCACAATTCTGAGACCACTTTCATGCTTTTTTCAGGCACTTGAGCAGAACCACTGACTTTCCATTATCTAAATAGATATCTTCCAGACATGAAGAAATATAGAGTTCTAACAACAGTGATGAAAAAGGTTTTTTTAAAGGTTATTAGGTAAGGTTGAACAATAACCTGTGTTGCCATTCACAAGAAATACAGAATGAAGCTATTTGGTATAATACAGGCAAAATCCATGACAATATAACATGTTTTTGATAAGGCAAAAAAACTAATTCAATTACTAAAGTTACAAATCAAACAATACAGATCTATGCTATCCTTCAACACTTTGTATAATTTTGGTTTTCTTTACCTTAATAATCTTTAATAGGCAAAATTTATATTACTCCTGGTTACATCAATACTTATTTCATAATTAAAATGCACAGGAATTAATAAAATATGCTAGACTTTGATGAAATTATTATATATTTCTTACTTAAATTATTTAACCAACTCACTTTTTATAATATCCTTGTGAATGAAAATCAATCAAAGAGTACAACTATTAAAAATACTAATTACCAAGGTTTGTGTGATGTACTTAGTTGAGCTTCCATTGGCATATGCTGTTTGTACCAAACCAAGGTTGAGATCTAATCCACTTTGTCTAACTAAACTCTGTAAGTAGCCCGCTACCTACAATAAATGACAAGATTTTAAGATCTTATTTTAAGACTAGCACAAGGCTTGTCTGCACATCTGTGCAGTATGAATAACCTACTGCATGTTCAATATTTAATTTAAAATTTTAAATAATAACCCATCACTTCATCTAGAGGTCTTTCCCCCACCCCCATTTTTAGGAAATTGGAACAGACTTGAAGCCTTTTTATAGTTTCATAGCAAATTAAATTTGTAACAGGAGGCTTTTCAATGAAACAAGCACCTTTACACAATATGCTCATGAAATTATGGGTTAAACATACATGTTGACTATCAAACAGTGTCACATAGAGAGATTTTACAGTAAAAGTAGGGTGATAGGATCTCTCATGTAGAAGATGTTCAATATTCATGTCCATTTTTATTCAGATGGGGAAGCTGGGTAAAGGTTTAATATGTCCAATCATAAATGAGCCGCGTCACAACAAAACCAACATAATGCGTTTGCGACCAGCATGGATCCAGACCAGCCTGCGCATCTGCGCAGTCTGATCAGGATCCATGCTGTTCGCTATCAGTTTCTCTACTTGTTATAGGGTTTGTAAGCGAACAGCATGGATCCTGATCAGACTGCACGGATGCGCAGGCTGGTCTGGATCCATGCTAGTCGCAAACGCATTATGTTGGTTTTGTCGTGACGCGGCTCAAATAATCTTTTTCTTTCAAATCAATAACATCTGCTCACATTTTATACTATATATAATAGAATGCAACATGAATGTAAAAAGATAATAACATGTTTTCGTGTTTACCACTTTCAGTGAAAACAACATTTATTGAAGCTTTATTATGAAGAAATCTTGCATTTATTTGAATCACCCTTGAGTCCACTTCATAGAACTTCCAGCAACATATGTGAAATATGGCTGTGACCAAAGGGCTCGAACCCATAATTCCTGCCTTGAGTGAAAGGCACCTACTAACTACTAAACCAACACTCGCCTTATATCATATTTGAGCAATTTAATTTTCTATTCTTATGTAAATAAATGAAGTGGTTTTGTTTATCACTATTTTTAACAATACTGAGCCATTTCCAAGTAAACATTTGTATTTTAAGGGTTCCCAGATTCCCTCCCAGCACTAACCTGTTTTTTTCCCCTAATATAATCTGAATATGACAACTTAACTATTTTCCTATTAAATTAAATGAACAGAATTATACAGTTATCTTCCTTTGCTTATAATAACATTACCTACCAGAGTTGCAATTTTGTCACCATCCATTAAATGGAACTTTCCATCTGCAATAAAGAAATCCCCAAGTTATGAATCTGAATTGAAGTGTGTAAAAAGCTAAGTCTTCTGCAATAAAGAAATCCCCAAGTTATAAATCTGAAGTGAAGTTTGTAAAAAGCTAAGTCTTCTGCAATAAAGAAATCCCCAAGTTATAAATCTGAAGTGAAGTTTGTAAAAAGCTAAGTCTTCTGCAATAAAGAAATCCCCAAGTTATAAAATCTGAAGTGAAGTTTGTAAAAAGCTAAGTCTTCTGCAATAAAGAAATCCCCAAGTTATAAATCTGAAGTGAAGTTTGTAAAAAGCTAAGTCTTCTGCAATAAAGAAATCCCCAAGTTATAAATCTGAAGTGAAGTTTGTAAAAAGCTAAGTCTTCTGCAATAAAGAAATCACCAAGTTATAAATCTGAAGTGAAGTTTGTAAAAAGCTAAGTCTTCTGCAATAAAGAAATCCCCAAGTTATAAATCTGAAGTGAAGTTTGTAAAAAGCTAAGTCTTCTGCAATAAAGAAATCCCCAAGTTATAAATCTGAAGTGAAGTTTGTAAAAAGCTAAGTCTTCTGCAATAAAGAAATCACTAAGTTATAAATCTGAAGTGAAGTTTGTAAAAAGCTAAGTCTTCTGCAATAAAGAAATCACCAAGTTATAAATCTGAAGTGAAGTTTGTAAAAAGCTAAGTCTTCTGCAATAAAGAAATCACTAAGTTATAACTATGAAATTATATCTTCAATTAGCTGAATAAAACAAATTATTAACAGTACAAATACCATATAAATTCAAATTGATCAGAGATAGTAATGGCAGTTTTAGAAGCTGTGAGAGTTAATGCCAATTTTCCAGCTTTTATGGTAAAGAGTAACCAAAGTTGCCCTTTTAGTGTTCATAATTGTATATGTCAGCACTTAAATGATTAAAAAATTATATATATTAAAGGCCCATTGTGCCTCAGAAATGCTTCTATTTTTTTATGTCTCAAAAACTGTTTTTTAATTGTAGGGAACCATCTTTTTCATCTGTCACTTTTCCGCAATAACTAAAGATATAGAGTATAAGTATTTTGTATGGAGGTCAAGATACTACATGTACTTTGTTTAAATTTTGCTACTTTTATGAAAAATTATTTGACATTAATTGCTACTTTCTTCAGGTAACAAGCATCTAACTTTCTCTAAAACTATTATTTAATAATTACACAATTCATCTTTGCTCTTTCAAAAGAAGTAAAAAAAAAATGTTTCTGAGGCATAATTTGCCTTTAAGCATACTGGGCAGTTTTCTCACATAAATACATTCAAAGTCATGAGTGGGGTTCTAATCAACACATACATGTGAACTTTTTTTGATGATCAATAGGGAGATTTTTCTTCAAAAAGAGGGAGATTTTAGAATTTGCAATGAAATAAGAAGAAAAGTTCTGACATCAAAAAGAGGGAGATTTCTTTAATTTGTGAAAATACCCCTTATTTTAAGAAAAATCTTTAAAATATGGCTGCAGAAAGTGGAAGTCTCCTGCTAAAAGTGGGAGAATTCACATGTATTTCAACAGTGGTCAGTAATTAATGACACAGTAGATGTAAATGACTGTTAACACTCCGCCAAGAAGCCTCAAGATCTATTCAGTAATAAATCTACAAATAATGATATAAAAACATTATAAATATAATAATTATAATATAACAAACCAGATCCAATAAAGAAGTAGACAATTCTATCAGCATCCCCGTCATAGGAGGCACACTTCATGCCTTGATTTAGCGTCATACCTGAAATATGAGTGACAAAAAAATATATTCATAAACTTTCAACATCTTGTACATACCTGTGAATAGTAAAAAGAAAAACATTAGGGGCGGCAACATGATGCTAAGAGGCGAATCTGACAACTGCACTCAATCAAAATTTAGAATATTTTAGACTTGTACAGTTGTCATCAGATAAAACTTAACATTCAACACTTTCTTAATTGTGATATAGATTATATTTTCATTTAAAAAACTATTTTAAAAAATCATGTAACTGATTCTACTGTAGCTCTTGCCAATCACAATTTACATAAGAATTTTGCCAGAATATAAAACAGAAAAAGTAAAGAGAGAGAGCACAACATTAACATTTGTATCTAAATTCATGTACTCCTGTGTCATGTTTATAATATGAATATTTTTTTGTTGAAACCATTGGTATACCTGTAATAATTAACTTACCATCAGGTGAACACTGATTAACTTTCACAAAATCTGCTCCAACCTACAAGGAAAATATTGAAAATTTGAAGATGAATAAAAAAAGTGTCAGAAAATTTCTTGTTGTCTTAATAAGCATTTAAACCATGTCCTCCATCAACCCATTACAGATTATTTTAAACATTTATTCATTCTTCCTAAAACAAGAGCTGTCTATAAGGCAGCTTCTTGACTATTTTCAGTGCTTGACAATAAGGGGTATAACTCTGTAAAAAAAGTAATTCAGAATTATAGGACCTGTGTCCGTCATGTTAGATAATCACAGAAAACAAGTGTTTTAAGTTTCAACCCATTCCTTTCAGATACCAACTTGCATGCAAAAACTTAACAGAAGTGTGATGGCGACAGTGATGTCAGGGTGAGTACAAAATCTCTACCAATTCTTTGAATAAGCTAACACTACTGTCAAATTTATTATATGTTAAACATTGGAAAGAACCCTCTATATTGATTCAGAAGAAAGAGCAGGAGATCAAAAGTTGAATTTGCGAATTTAAAGTTGAATTTGCGAATTTGAGTATAGAGCAAACCAATGTTTATTATTTGAGGATTTGTTTCTTGCCATTCATCAGAATAGAACAAAAACACCTTTATTAACTCAAAATATGGTTACATAAGAATACAATGCAACATATACATGAACAATTATGCAAAAATCACATCACATAATATTTTAGTTGTAATAGGAAAATAAATTTAATCATAAGCCACTGTTTCAAATGATTTGGAAGGGTGTATTTTTAAGTGACACAGACACCCAGTGTCTATTCTAGGATTTGAAAAACAGGGGGGGATTTTTATCGAAAAATGAGAATTTATTACATTTGTTGATTTTTTTCCCTTCTTTCTCTAAGTAATATTTTCCCCCAGCCTCTGAAAAAATAGGGGGGAATTCTCAAAAATATGGGTAAATCCCCCCTCCTAGAATAGACACTGGACACCACTCAGGTAATCTGGTGACATTCCACCTGCATCTACTGAGGAAGACCTTAACCCATAATACCAGGCATTAGTGAGCAATTGAGAATGAGCTGAACCATCAACATTTTGTTAACTTGCTAGATGTCCTCCTCAAATGCAGGATCTGAACCCACAATGGTGAGAAGCAAGTGGTTCGAAATCAGCAACCTTGACCACTTAACCAGAGCGACACAATAGGAAATCTTCAATGAATAAATTTAACCATGATTGGTCACCTGCATTTATTACTTTACTTTAATCATCATATTAAAATCACACTAGTTATACCCTGATAGTAAGTCAATAGCACAAATGAAGTTTTCCCATATATTCCTATGTCAATATTTTAAAATAAAATATACCCTGTAATTCAGTTTCCCCGTAGATCCATCATTACATATATGAATTGTGAGGGCCTCTCCCAGATGCTTGGCAAGTGCTTTAACCTTGTCTGCACCTACTCCATTGGCAGCATCCACTGTTAATTCACTGTTGTATTTCCCAGTGTTTCTCACCTATACAAGACCAAAACAAATGTTTGATGGCATATCTTACCCTATACACTTAGCCAGGACCCAATAATCTTAACTTAAAAATACTTTAAACATAGCCAATATGGCAACTAAATGATGAAGAAGTATTTTACCTAATGTCTGCACTAAATCTTCTTAGAAGAATCAATATTGTTCAATATGTTGAGATTTTAAGTGGTACAATGTAAATATCAAGTTAGATGTCCTCTGTACATAAAAGTATTGAAAGTCCCTGACAGAATTTGAACCCACAATGGTGTGAAGCAAGTGGTTTGATCATGTATAGAGAAGTCAATATGAGCCGCGTCATGACAAAACCAACTTAATGGGTTTGCGACCAGCATGAATCCAGACCAGACTGCGCCTCCGCGCAGTCTGATCAGGATCCATGCTGGTCACAAACGCACTATGTTGGTTTTGTTGTGACGTGACTCATATTGTGTTAAATAAATCATCTATGTTTAGGAAATGGTCTTACAGCTTTAAGAAGTTTCACAAAAGCTGCTGACAATTTTTTATAATATCCTTCCTCAGAACACTGGCCATATCCTTCCCTTGTGTTCTTACATCTGACCATGTAGTGCAGCTGCGGGGTAGTCAATAAACCTAGGGGGTAAAATAGAAATTAAAATATTTTTGTGCAATAAAAAATAAAATAGTATCTAAAACAAATCTTTGTACTTTCATTATATAATAAAAACATAGATTTTGTTATACAAAATGTAGGTTAATACTCATAAGTAATATATTTACTACCAGGTACTTAGTAATGAGTCAAAATTTGGTAAACCCAGTAGCAAGTTACATTTTGGTAACTATGTTAAACTACCAACCCGACAACCCTTATTGTTTACAAAAGGGCACAGGTCAATGTTTGTGGTTTATTCTGTTGTTATTAAAATAACAAGAGCTGTCACAGGAGACAGCGAACCTCGACTAATAAAATACTGGACGCAGTAAGGAAAATTAAACTATGAAAGAAAAAGCAATTATGTATAATTATGTTTTAAGTTATAGTAAAAAATAGCATTGTTAACATAAATTCCAAGATCAAGGGGAATAATTCTGGAAATAGTCACGCTACAGTTATGAACCTTGTGTGTATTGATAAGAAATATATATTTGAAGTAGATACCTTAAAAAGTAAAGAAGTTACAATATTTCTTATAGAAAATCCTAAGTTCAAAGAGAGATAAATCTGTAAAAAAGTTATAGTAAAAAATAAGATTTTTCAAGTAAAAAAACCTAAGTTTAAATTATGGGGAGATAATTCTTGCAATATTGGTGCTAGAGTTATGAACCTTGTCACATAACATGTGGTTAATGATAAGGTACATATATTTGAAGTATGAAGTTTATCCCTTCAGAAATAAAGAAGTAACAGTAAAAAATAGTATTTTATAAGGAAAGTTCAAGGGGAGATAAATCTGAAAATATTGGTGCTAGAGTTATAAACCTTGTCACATAAGATGTGGTTGATGATACGGAACATATATTTGAAGTTTGAAGTTGATACCTTAAGAAATGACAAAGTTATAGTGAAAAATATTTTACTGCACCAAAACTTTAATCGGAAATCTGGACGCGACGCACACTCCGAGGTGAGTAGGACAGCTCTCCATATACTTTGTATATTCAAGCTAAAATGTCATAGCAGGGATCTATCAATTGATGCACCAGCACGGATATTTTTAGTAAATACATACCAAAATTGCTGAAAGTTCCATTAAGTGATTCTATTCCACACTGCAATGCTTGTGAGAGGCTCAAACTACTTGGCCTGTGAATGAAGCATAAATTCTATGCTAATAATTATCATACACTTTATATTGAATAAAATAGTTGTTTATACGCCTTGATAACATCATTTGGGCAGAATTCACTGTACATTTTGAATACTGTATATCGGGTTTTTTAATCTTATTTTGGTTAAATTGGCATTTAATAACTAAAAAAATAAATGTTCTCAGATTTAATTCAGTTTAAAAAATTTCTGTAACACAAATAGGAAAATTGAAGAAAAAAAAAACTGTGTAAAATATACAATTAAATTAATTTGTCCAGCTAGATCTATGTAGAATGTTTATGTTTTCAGGCTTTCTGAGTTCAGTGAAGTTCCTTTAAGTGTTAAGAGCCATCAGTTAGCTCAATTCAACATCCTTTGCAGATAAGTCATGAACTCACCTTGTATCCCTGGCAACAACAACATCTGCAGGACTGTTCATATCTATCTTCTCTTGCTCTATAATACCAGTAAGTGTCTCAGAAAGTTGATCATCACTGCAAATAACACATTCACAAAACCATAACTAGGTTTAAAAGAGCATGGACATCAGTTTAACTATTTTATTTTTTTTAAGTTTTGCTTTTTATATCATGTTCAATACTAGTTTGAAATATTAGTTCAGTCATATTCCATACATCATATACGAGGGGTGATCTAGAAATAACCGGACTTACTCTCTAAAATATTTATTCTTTACGATTTTTGCATGAAGTCTGTACCAAACGTAATTCAGATCAAACTGATTCTGTTGGAAATTAAAATATTATTCTTCAGGTGTATTCCGTTGTTTTATGCGTAGTCATGGAAACATACTAGCGCAAGAACGGGGGAAGCCATTTTTCAATCACGAATTGCTATTTTAAGGCTTATTTGGACATATTTCAGACTTTGCATTTTGGAGCCAATTAACGTCAGTTTAACATAACGTCATTGACGTCTTTTTATCAAGTTTCAATTTCATAACGTTTTCCGTTATCAAACAACAAACTTGACATCATCTCCGCTAGTGTCTTAACAATGGCGTTAGATCAGTATCCAGAAATTATCAAATTTTGGTGCAAACTTGGTTATTCACCTACAAAAACTTATGAAATGAAAAAACAGTCATCTGCAGGAAAGATAGTATCAAAAACACAAGTTTTTGAATGGCATCGGCGATTCCGTGAAGGCAGGCAATCTCTAGAAGATGATTCAAAAGAAGGTTTTAGACATTTGTTGAAACAATCAAAGACGTCATTTTCAGCGTGAGTGATCACTGAATAATTAAATATGTCTAAAGTCAGCGCCAGATCAGAAATGTGTGGATGTAAACGGTGATTACATAGAAAAGTAACTGTCAGAATAACTTTGGGTAACGTCAATGCAGTCAACGTTTGTTGGATGACTGCCCCAGCACATGCAGAACACATAGTGTATTTGTATGTATATTAGTGTAGTTTATTGCCATAATGCATTGAAATTTTCAGGAGTCATGTATTAAACATTGAAATTAATGTCAGATATATTTTTGGGATTCTCTCTTTGTCCTTGTCCAAGTTATGCGCCCAGTCCGGTTATTTCTGGATCACCCCACATATTAAATACATGTTCCAAGATTCTATACCCAGGGATTTTTTTGGCTTATGTGATAGTCGTTATTCGGTCATACTCCGAATTAAAAATAGTGTATTATTTTCCCAATCCACAGGAAAAAATTCCAATTGAAAGTTACAAAATAAAAATATTGAATAACAAATTCTAAAATCTTTGAAAAATAAGGGCCTCTTCACTGTTATGGTGCTTAAATGTTTGAAAATGCCATCCAAGACAGTGATTCTTTGCATTCATTTACATGTAATTACTGCAAAATTTAAGTCATGCATTTTATCCCAATTCTTAACAAAATATCACCATGCAGGGTATAGGTCATGTTCCTAAAATCCTGAAAAAAAAACCCCTGATACCAGTGGTAGCCTTGTTTTCCAAGTGATATGCATAAATTGAATAGACTTTGTATGCTATTAAAGATATTTTTTAACAAGAGCTGTGCTTGACTATTGTCAGTTCTTGATAGTTAAATAAGAGTCTGGAAAATGTAGAATTCTCAAATTTCAAAAGGGCCATAATTCTGTCAAAATAAAAATTAGAGAAATGGGCCTTGGAAAATGATCTTCTTTTTAGCACTGTGTGTGAAGTTTCAACACATTCCCTTCAGTAGGTTTTGAGCTACCAACCTGCACGCAAAAACCTTAAACAAAGTGTGACGTCAGTGCCAACGCCTGGGTGTATTATATTGTACTAGTGTGACAGATACACCATGCTTTTTCTATTCTTACCAGTACAAAATCAGGAACTTAATGACATTAATTGACGTTTTTCTAACAAACTTCATTACATCTAAAGAGCACAGCACTAGCCAGTAAATATAATTTGAAATAATTACCTTGCATTAGCTAATGAGGTTGCTAATTTTTCCCATTTCATTTCAAGCATTTCACCTAATGGATCTACAAGTTTGACACCATTGTCATCTTCTGGGTTGTGTGATGCTGTGATCATTACTCCTATACTGGCTGAAGTTAAGAGCAAATAAGTAATGTACTGGCTGAAGTAAAGAGCAAATAAGTAATGTACTGGCTGAAACATAGTGCAAATAAGTAATTTACTGGCTGAATTATAGAACAAATAAAAATGTACTGGCTGAAACATAGAGCATATGAGTAATGTACTGGCTGAATCAAAAAGCAAATGAGCATTGTACTGGCTAAAACATATAGCAAATGAAACAACGAGTGAATGAGTCATGTAATTGCTGAAACACATCAAGGACCTTTTAACATAGACAACCATGTCTACATAGAGGGAGACTCTTTACAAATTACATAATATTGTCCAACAGAATTAAGCAATGACCAAAAAAAAAAAGAAATTTAATATGTTTAAACTTATGATGTTATATAATACACTTAAAATGTGCAAAGCATTAAATAAAATCCTAGTCTTGAATTAAAAAATAAATATATTACCTTTTTTCTGTTTTGACCTAAGAACTGCCAGCATTCCCATTCTGCACAAAACATGTGGAAGATCTTCACCTCTGATTAAATAATATGAGTATGTAATAAGTTAAATTAAGAAATCCAAAACCTAGCTAAACACTGTTTTCCGTACTTTCTCTACATTCTAGAAGTTAGCTCTGGGGAATTGGCCTAAATCATGTGTAATCACAGTATGTTTTTGGCTTTTTTTTATTAAAATGAAATAAAAAAAAACTATTTGTTTTTAAACAAATGTTTAAATAACATTGGTGCAGGGTGCATAGAAAAACCGGAAAGCACCGGATAGCACCGAAAAACCGGAAAGCACTCAAATTTCTCATAAAAACATATGAAAACGTTAATTAATCCGTTTGAAAGTGTTACCAATCGATTTATTAGATTAAAATCTTACAGACAAGTCATTTTTATAAATATATATTGATGATTATTACGAGTATTTAGGAAAATAGATATATCGAGTGCTTTCCGGTCCTGTTAAGATACATGTACATTACCGGATAGCAATATTGTTTATCAAAGTTATACATGAAAACTTTATTTTATTGGTTTGAAAGTGTTACCAATCGATTTATTAGATCAAAATCTTACAGACAAGTCATTTTTATAAAAATATATTGATAATTATTACGAGTATTTAGGAAAATAGATATATCGTGTGCTTTCCGGTCCTGCTAAGATACATGTACATTACCGGATAGCAATATTGTTTATAAAAGTTATACATGGATACTTTATTTTATTGGTTTGAAAATGTTACCAATCGATATATATTATCAAAATTTTTCAGACAACATGTTTTATAATTATAATATGATTATAATTACGTTTGATTAGGAAAATAAGATATATCGAGTGCTTTCCGGTCCTGCTAAGGTACATGTACTTTACCGAATAGCAATATGGTTTATCAAAGTAATACATGAAAACTTTATTTTATTGGTTTGAAAGTGTTACCAATCGATTTATTATATCAAAATCTTCCAGACAACATGTTTTTATAATTATAATATGATTATTATAACGATTATTTAGGAAAATAGATATATCGAGTGCTTTCCGGTCCCGTGAAGTTACATATACTTTACCGAATAGCAATTTAATTTCTCAAACAATCACATAAGATCTTTGTTTTATTGTATTGTAAATGTTACCAATCGATTTATTAGGTATGATACAGTATTATTTCATGTTTTATTCTAAATTATATGATTATTTAAAAGATTTATGAATGTTAAATAAATTGAGAATGCTTTCCTGTTTTGTTAAGTATATGTACATTACCGAATAGCACTCGAATTTTCCATAAAAAAACGTACAACCTTCATTGTATTGAATTGAAAACGTTACCAATAGATTTATTAGGAAAAAATCTCCCAGACATTATTTTTTTATAATTATTATTACGAATAAAAAAGTTTAAAATAGATATTAAAATAGATATATCGAGTGCTTTCCGGTCCTACACATTCTATTATTGCTTCCCGGTCCTGTGAAGAAAATAATAGTAATACATCACCGAAAAGCACTGGTCCTCTTACCTCAGACATACCGATGGTATATAAATATTTAAAATGTATGTACCATGTCTAATATATTAATATATTTATTTGTTGTAGGCTATATGGAAGACAAGAGGATTCAAAATAGCAGGAAGAGAAGAACAATAATTGTTTCAGTGATGTTTTTTTTATTTTTGACAATAAACAGTGCAATAAATAAAAATAAACGAAACTAATTACTAAGAACAAAATAAACAGATATATAAAACAGAACTTAGCAAGCATATATACATACATAATTGAAAAATAAGTATAATATTGAAATCAATCAAGGCACACTTCACGCCTCGTTTATTACACGGGCACACGCTGATAAAAAAAAGGGTGTTTTTTTTGGGTTTTTTTTTTCCCAAAAAATTTTAAAAATTTTAAAAATTTTTTTTGGAAAAAAATTTAAAAATTTTTTAAAAAAAAATTTTTTTAATTTTTTTTAAATTTTTTTTTTTTAAAAAAAAAATTTTTTTTTTAAATTTCTTTTTTTTTAAATTTAATTTTTTAAAAAATTTTTTTTTTTAAAAAAAAAAAAATTTTTTTTTTTTTTAAAAAATTTTTTTTTTTAAAATTAAAAAAAAACCCGGGTTTTTTTAAAAAAAAAACAAAAAAAAAAAAAAAAAAAAGGGAAATTTAAAAAATTTTGGAAAAAAAAAAAAAATTTTTTTTTTTTCCGGAAAAATTTGGGTTTTTAAAAAAAACCCCCCTTTTTTTTTAAAAAATTTTTTTTTTGGGGGAAAAGGTTTTTTAAAAAATTTTTTTTTTTTGGGGTTTTTTAAAAGGGGGTTTTCAAAAATAAAGGGGGGGAAAAAAATTTTAAATTTTTTTTTTTTTTTCCCCCAAAAAAATTAAAAAATTTAAAAAAAAAAAAAAAAATTTTAAAAAATAAAAAAAAAAAAAATTTTTTAAAAAAGGCCCCCCTTTTAAAAAAAATTTAAAAAAAGGTAATTTTTTAAACCCTTTTTTTTTTTTTCCAAAAAATTTTTCCCTTTGAAATTTTTTTTTTAACCCTTTTTTCTTTTTTAAAAATTTTTTTTTTTTAAATAAAAAATTTTTTTCCCTTTTTTTTAACCGGAAAGGGGGGTTCAAAAAACCCTTTTTTTTTTTAAAAAAAAAGGGGGGTTTTTTTTTTTTCCCCCCAAAAAAATTTTTTTAAATTTTTTTTTTAAAATTTTTTTTTTTTTAAAAAATTTTTTTTAAAAAAATTTTTTTTAAAATTTCCTTTCCCTTTTTTTTGGAAATTTTTAAAAATTTAAATTTTTAAAAAAAAAAATTTTTATTTTTTGGGTTTTTTTTTAAAAAATTTTAAAAGGAAGGGAAAAAAAAAACCCCTTTTTGGGGGTTTTAATCAAAAATTTTTGTTGGTTTTTTTTTTAAAATTTAAAATTTTTTTTAAAAAATTTTTTTTTAAAAAAAATTTTTTTTCCAACGGGGAAAAAAAAAAAAAGGGTTTTCCCTTTTTTTCCCCTTTTTGGTTAAAAAAAAAAAAAAACAAAAAAGGTTTTTTTTTCCCCTTTTTTTTTTTAAAAAAAAAAAAGGTTTTAAAGGTTTTTTTTTTTTTAAAAAAAAATTTTTTTTCCCCCCAAAAAAAAAAATTTTTAAATTTTAAAAAATTTTTAAAAAATTTTAAAAATTTTAAAAATTAAAAAAAAAAAATTTTTTAACTTTTTTTTTTTTTTTAAAATTTTTTAAAAATTAATTTTTTAAAAAATTTTTTTTTTTTTTTTTTTTTAAAAAAAATTTTTTTCCCAAAAAATTTAAAAAATTTTTAAAAATTTAAAAAAAGGGGTTTTTAAAAAAAAAATTTTTAATAAAAAAAAACCCCTTTTTTTTAAAAAATTTTTTTTTTAAAACCAAAAATTTTTTTTTTTAAATAAAAAAATTTTTTTTTTTAAACCAGGGGGGGCCCCTTTTTTTTTTAAAAAAAAAAAAATTTTTTTTTTTTCCGGGGAAAAAATTTTTTAAAAAATTTTGGGGGAAAAAAATTTTTAAAAAAAAAATTTTTTTTTAAAATTTTTTTTTTTTTTTAAAAAGGGGAACAAAATTTTTTTTTTTTAAAAATTTAAAAAAATTAAAAAAATTTTAAAAAAAAATTTTTTTAAAAGATTTTAAAAAATTTTTTAAAAAATTAAACTTTTTTTTTAAAAAAAAAATTTTTGGATTTTTGGGGAAAATTTGTTTTTAAAAAAAATTTTTGGGGGGCCCCCCAAAAATTTTAAAAAAAAAAAAATTTTTTTTTTTTTGGGAAAAAAAAAATTTTTTAAAAAAAAAAGGGGGAAAATTTAAAAAATAAAAAAATTTTTTTTTTTTCCCCAAAAAAAATTTTTCCTTAAAAAAGGGAAAAAAAATTTTTCCAAAAAGGGGGTTTTTTTAAAAATTTTTTAAAAAAAAAAATTTTTTTTTTTAAAAATTTTTTTTTTAAATAAAAAATTTTTTTTAAAAAATTAAATTTTTTTTAATTTTTTAATTTTAAATTTTTTTGGGGGGTTTTTTTTTTTTTTTAAAAAGGGGGTTAAGGGGGGGGTTTTTTTTTAAAAAAAAACCCTTTTTTTTTTTTTTTTTGGGGGGAAAAAAAAATTTTTTAAAAAAAAAAATTTTTTTTTAAAATTTTTTGGTTTCCTTTTTTTTTGGGAAAAATTTTTAATTTAAAAAAAAATTTTTTTAATTTTGATTTAAAAAAATTTAAAAAAAATTTTTTTTTTTTTTAAAAAAAAAAAAAAAATTTAAAAAATTTTTAAAAGGGGGTTTTTTTTTTTTTTTTAAAAAAGGGGGGCTAAAAAAAATTTTCCCGGGGGGTTTTTTTGGGGAAATTTTTTGGGGTTTTCCCTTTTTTAAAAAAAAAAATTTTAAATTTTAAATTTTAAGTTTAAAAAATTTTTTAAAAAATTTTTAAAAAATTTAAAAAAAAAAAAATTTTTTTTTAAAATTCTTTTTTGGGGAAAAACCCCCAAAGGAAAAAAATTTTAAGATTTTTTTAAATTTTTAAAAAATTTAAAAAAAAAATTTTTTTTTTTAAAAATTTTTAAATTTTTAAGGCCGAAAAAAAAAAAAAAAAAAAGGGGGGGGGCCCCCCCTTTTTTTTTTTAAAAAAGTCTTTGTTTTTTTAAATTTTCCCCCCCCAAAAATTTCCCCCCCTTTTTTAAAAACCCAATTTTTTAAAAATTTTTTTTAAAAAATTTAAAAAAAAATTTTTTGGGGCCCAAAAAAAATTTTAAAAAAAAAAAAAATTTAAAAGGGTTTTTTTTTTAAAAAAAAAATTTTTTTTTAAAAAAATTTTTTTTTTAAAATTTTTAATTCTTTTAAAAAAAAAAAAACCAAAAAAAATTTGAAAAAAAAAACAAAAAAAAATTTGTTTAAAAAAAATTTTTAAAATTTTTTTTTTTTCCCCCAAAAAAAAAATTTTAAATTTGAAAAAAAACCCTTTTCCCCCCTTTCCCGGAGGGGAAAAAAAAAATTTAAAAAAATTTCCCTTTTTTTTTCCCCCCCAAAAAAAAAAAAAAAAATTTAAAAAAAAAAAAAAAAAAATTTTTATTTTATTTTTTTTTTAAAAAATTTTAAAAAAAAATTTTTACATTTTTTTTTAAAAAAAATTTAAAAAAAAAATTTTTTTTTTAAAAAACCCCAAAAAATAAAAAAGGTGTAAATCAAAAAAAAAAAAACCCTCAACAAATCGTTTCCATTTAAAGGTGTACACTATGTATTATAATTATTATGTTAAAGTACTCATGTTTACAGTCAACATACATCAAAAAGTTTTCTTTTAAATAATTCTAGAGAGAAAATCAAGGAAGCAAACGTTTCTATTGCAATAAATAAAATCGGTAATAAAATCTGATAAAATAAATAAATAAATATTCTCTTTTAAAGAAAGTAATTTATTTTTGTCTCCATCCCAGTGTTTAGTTTTAAAGTAGCTTAAAAGTATATTTAAACGTCGTTTCAACGTTATACACATGTACTTAGATTTTTAAAGCCGTGACATATATTCAACTTTGAGCAAACATTAATCCAACATCAGGTGTTTGTTGGGATTCAATACTAAATATATTAGGGGTAATGCTATCAGAATATTTTTAATTTGCCTATTTTCTGTTTTAAAAATTCTCAAACGCGATAGCAGGATATCTCTGGAATAGAGGGTTACTGTCTGTTACCGTCACATTTCCCCCCAAATAGAAAAAAACTAAAAGCAGAATGGTTTGTGATATTCAAAAACTAGGATTATCTTCCCAAATAGAAAAAAAACAGAATCCCTTAAGAAAATAAAAAATGTTTTAACCAGTTTGATAAAAATTTAACATAAAATTCCCCCTTTTTTTTTGGGAAAAACCCAAAAAGGGGGAGTTTTAAATTTAAAAAAAACCTATTTCAAAACAATGCATAATTGGGTTAAAATTTTTAAATTAAATATGTAAAAAATTAAAAACCCAAAAAATTTTAAAAATTTTTTTGATTTTTATTTTTTAAATGTTTTATAATTTCTTAAACTTAAATTAATTAATCAAAATTTCCTTTTTGGGGGATTAAAATGTTTTTAAAAAAATTTGTCATGTTTCAAAAAAAATTACAATACAAAAATTTTTTTTTCAAAATTACAAAATGTCAATTTAAATTTTTCCCAATTTTTAAATTTTTTTATAAATTTTTATTTTTAAATTTTAACCTTTAAAAAAATACGTTTCATTTTCAATTTAAAATTTTGGAGGTTTTTATTTTCAAAAAGTTTTTTAAAGGTTTTTCTCCTTTCTGGGAGACAAACATAAATAAAAACTTTTCTGAAAGGTTTTTTTGGACAAATATGAAAATTTTTCAATGGGTTTTAAAAAACCTTTTTTTTTTTTGAAAATCACAATGAAATCACAATGTCACATATTTGAAAATCATATTAAATTCTGTATTTTTACTTTTGCTTATTGTTTGGTCCGGGTACGGAGAGGGTTTAGACATTTATCCAGTTGACACATCCAAAGAGGGAGGCAGAATGTTCTATGGAATAGGGGGGCTGAGCGGAGGGGGAGTATGTTTTTATAAATTTTATGAAAATTATACTGAAATTAATTTGAAGATTGACAAAGCTAATGAACGGGAAAGTCAGAGGAAAAAAAAATTTGTTCATTTTTTATTTTACATTTTTCCTGTTTAAGGTGTCATTTGGTAATTTGTGCACCTCTTCCTTTTCAATTGGAACACCTCGATGATCATTCTTAAGCTGAAACTTTCATTTTGTGAAATGACAACGGGTACGGCTCATTGAATGTTCACAAAATATATGTTTGATAACCTAAAATCCGAAGGCAGATATTAATTTTAAGTCCATCCTCATTCACGAATTTGAAAACCTAGCTAAACGCCTTTTTCCGGTACTTTCTGTACATAGCTCTGGGGAATTCAGCTAATGAAGTGTAATAACAAATTCTGTGTACTTTGGTCGTTTGTGAATTCAGGTGAAACAGTTATTACTTTGTAAGAAAAGTATTAAATATCATTGTATGAATAATTCCATACAAGAAATAAAGTAAATACACAAGTTGAAGTGGAAAATATCTCTTATTTATTATGGTAGATGCCACTATGACTGTTTTTATTGTATTGATTTTCATCATAAAGAATTTATTTTTTGAAAAATTTGCAATAGATATTAAAGGAACATGGATAATTTTCAAACACATCAATTTTTTACACCTTAAACGGCAAAATAATGATAGAAAAATAGAAATATAATGTAATAGTGTTATGTACTTCATTTGATGTAATTCCCCAGAGCTAAATCCGTTGGTCTAAAATTGATCTGTTTCATGGCATTTGTCAGCGGTATATTGTATGCCTGCACCATTTTCTGTTTCATATGGTTCGACATTTGTATTGATGCACCAGGAAGACTTCCCTCAAAATATTTTACAATATCAAGCTGTATTGAAATACAAAATAACATTTTTTTCACATTATTGCAACTGAATAAATAAAAGAAGACTTCCCTCAAAATATTTTACAATATCAAGCTGTATTGAAATACAAAATAACATTTTTTTCACATTATTGCAAATGAATAAATAAAATTTTGGATTTAAAATGTACAGCAGTAACCTCATGACAATAAACTTTGATTATATCTGCATCATATGTTTATATTTGGGTACTGGATGACACAGTTTAAGATAACATGTAATTTGATTTTTTACACAAGAAACATGTTTATTTACAAAAACACACTGTCTTTAATTAATTCATCTTTGTCACTTATAGGCAGATCTCGTCGAATTCCTTTTGGCGATAGAATAGAACATGCATGGCGCCGATAAATGTCTTTTCCGTGTTGCTGCCATTTTTGAAATGAATATACAAAAGCAGCGCAGTATAAAAAATCTCTATTTTTTATCCGTACTGATTTTACCTTACTAATTCCTCATGCATTTTTGCATTAATATAAAGTAGTAACATCTATGCTTTACAATAAATCAAACTGTGAAAAAAGACAATCAGTGTTCCGTTACCGCTCAGTTTGTGTATTGACAATTGCATAAGGTTATTCACAACTTCGCCGTCCGGTATTGTCAGGGTAATTATCAATATAATTGACTTCATTGTCCCCTATCAAACGTCCGATTTTTTTTTCACAGATTCCGGTATTGTCAATGTTTAATGCAATAGTTTAATAAAGGGAAAATCTGGGACTAAATTAATCGTCCGGCATTTAGAGTGTTCCAATATTCTCAGCGTCCAGTTTTCTCAACCTTTTCTGTACCTTGGATAAAAGAAATATGTTTGAATATTTTATTGAAAGCAAGAAGGGCATGCGTAAATTATCACCGAACCAAACTAAAAATAGCAGCAGAATATTTTGTTGTGCAACATTTTATTCTGTTTACATACAATATTTGTGTATATTACTTAGAAATTCTATGTAATGAAATTTTAAGAAACAAAGAATAGGTTATGAAATGAACATTATTTTACTGTTTATAAATGTTCATAAAATATTTCATCACTCAGATATAGCTTATTCACTTTAAAGCTATTCATTATTTCTATTGATACAATATGAAGTAATGGCGAAAGTTTGTCAAAAGAAGAGGGGCTTAAAAAGGGCTTAGCCCTTCCATCAGAGCCCTGAATCATCCTACAGGTATCCTACAGGTAAACAATTAGCAATTGTATATATGTATATAGTGATATTTTCTTTTTCAGGCTACATCCAAATTATTGGTTAATTATCCTAAAGAACAGAGAGATCAGATTCTTGATTATTTATTCAAGGTAAAACTTATTATACTATTTCTTTTAGCCCACCTGAACATGCAGTGCTCAAAAGTGTGCTTTTGAGATTTTGATGTGTTCATTGTTGCTTTTTTTTGTTGCCTACAATATCTATAGTATCTTGTACCTATAATCTGCTTGGTAAATTTGTACCAAGCAATACTTAGACCTGTTATTATTTTAAGTATCAAGTATCAATCGGTGGTCAAAATTAGCTTTGCTTCTGATATCACTTGTGCTTCTCTTTAAAAAAAGCTATATATGCTTTGCACATATCATTTGCATCATTGATCAGTATAAAATTCTAAATCTTCTCCCTGTGGTCAATATCCTTATGTTTGTTTTATACATGTTATATACCATCAGTTATAAAAGGTTGTTAGAGCTTATTTAAACTTATCAATTGTAAAATGTATATATCATCATACATGTGTATGTTCAGGCAAATAAGGGTTATTAATATATTGTGCTTACTATTTTCAGCCAGGATTTGGAGCCTCCCTGCATATTCTGAAAGTTGAAATTGGAGGTGATGCACAGAGTACAGGTCAGTGTGAATCCTCACACCATTTATTGATTCATTAGTACTTTGTTGTTCTATTTGATATGACTTAATTAGTTCTTGATAATGTGTTTTCAACTGAGTAGAGGAAAACTGTCTTTTTCAATTACACATAAACAACAATCTAAAACAGTTTATAAAAGTTTTTTAAGATCATTTTTTAGCTTGACTATTCGATAAGAATAAGTAGAGCTATTTGTAATACCTCAAATATTTTCAAAGTCCATTGACATATGGCTTTGAAACTTTGCATACTTGTTCACCATCATGACCCTAACCTGTAGACAGGAGGAGGTAACTGTATCAAGCATTTTGACAGAATTATGCCCCTTTTTTGAATTAGAATTTACGTTAAAGTTTTTGTAATACCTCAAATATTTTCAAAGTTCATTGACATAAGGCTTTGAAACATATTGAAATTTTATACTCTTCTTTGAAAGCATAATAGGACTCTCTGCAATGCAACTGTAATAAGGATTTAAAGAAAAATTTTGCCTTTTTCTTTACTGAGAAAATTTTACCTTTTAATCAAGGCTTTTTTTACTATCAAGCACTAAGAATAGTCGAGCTTTGCTGTCTTACCGACAGCTCTTGTTTGCTCCTTCTTAAAATCTTGTCAAAACATTGTCAGCTTCTGATTATAGGTAATCATATTTACAGTTTAGGGCACAGAACTAAAACTTGCATTATAAGTTTTCCTTTCATACAGTTAAACATTAAAATGAAAAGGAAACATGTTTAAAATAACTGATTTTAGACCAGGTATTCTTTGTTCAGTTTTGTGCAGTAATTAGTGATGAAAACAGGCATCAAAAAATATATTTGGAGTCACTTGTCCTGCAGTATGAGTAGCTTTTAAATCCAATGTGCAGGCAACATTTTTCTACTCGTCCTGCATCAAGTTCTCTTAAATTCTACTTGTAATTACAAGCAGATGAGTGAAATTTTCGATCTTTTGAAATATTTACTTACTGGTACCAATAAATAATATATAATAGTTAAACACCTTAGATATTATCTGACTGTTTAATGCAACAATAATGTATCTCACTAAATTTATATCTAATAACTTACTAATATATACATGTATTAGATTGAAATGTTAGATAATTAATGTATCTTAATGAATTTACATCTAACAAGTTACTATAATATACATGTACATTAGCCGCGTCACGACAAAACCAACATAGTGCATTTGCAACCAGCATGGATCCAGACCAGCCTGCGCATCGGCCCAGTCTGATCAGGATCCATGCTGTTTGCTATCAGTTTCTCTACTTGTAATAGGGTTGGTAAGCACTATGTTGGTTTTGTCGTGACGCGGCTTCAAATGTTAGATAATATTTCTCCAGATGGTACAGAGGCATCTCATATGCATTATCCATGGGAGGAAAACTATGAGAGGGGCTATGAATGGTGGCTCATGACAGAGGCTAAGAAGGTAAGGAACAAAACAGTTGTTCTGTATTATGACCTTCCAAAACTGTCCATGCTTACACCCCCTGTGTAAGACAAATAGCATGCTTTAAATGACATCATTTCCACGTGCCTCTTATAAATGAATTGCATTCATAGGACGTTGCCATTATAAATGAAGTTGTAAATTGATACACTACTATAAGAAGAAAGTGCTACATGAAAATATTAGTTTTCGTAATTCCTTTTCGAAATATGATTAATATTTAATTTGCAAATAAAAAGAATCAAACACCAACTGTTGTCACAGACAGGATCATCTAGCTTTTGGGTAACTGTTCAGCAAAAACTCAGCAAAGCTTTGTTACTGCTGTAAACAGTTACCCTCAAACTAGATATTCCAGTCTGTGGTCACCAGTGTAAGATCCTTATTGTAATTTATGAAGGCTTTTAAGTAAGAGGGAAACCTTAGGTTCCTATCTCTGTATTATTTTAGACATAACTGAGCACCTAGGTGTAAACACCTTGCCTTCTGTAATAGCAATAGTTGCCGCTTTCTTTTAATCATGATAGTTGCCTTACGGTATGAATTTTGACAAAACTGTTTTCCTTTTTTTGCTGTCCTACAGAAAATATCAGGAGAAAAACATCAGAATTTTCAGTTTAATATAAAGTGCTGATAAAAAATATCAGCCTACAATATTTTTTTTCTTTTTTTCAAGAGAAATCCAGATATACAGTTGTATTGTTTACCATGGGCATTTCCAGCCTGGGTTGGTGCTGGAAAAAGGAATCCTTACAATAAACCCGAGTTAACAGCTTCATATGTGGTGAAATTTATCCAGGGAGCCAGGAAATACTATAATCTTACCATGAATTATGTGGGGGTACGTTGCTTATAATTGAGCCGCGTCATGACAAAACCAACATGATGGGTTTGCGACCAGCATGGATCCAGACCAGCCTGCTCATCCCCGCAGTCTGATCAGGATCCATGCTGTTCGCTTATGAACCATATAACAATTAGAGAAACTGATAGCGAACAGCATGGATCCTGATCAGACTGCGCGGATGCACAGGCTGGTCTGAATCCACGCTCAGGTCGCAAACCCATTATGTTGGTTTTGTCATGACATGGCTCATATGTTGTTTATAATACTTTAAAGTTATTACATATAGAGTAGATAGCACATTATTGATATCACAAAATTTATTATAGTTACTTTTATGTTTCAGTGAGCTTTAGTTTAGGTAATTAGTTACTTCAATTTTTCCTGATGGTATAATATTTAATTCATACAGCATACTACCTTTATATAATATAACAGATACTGATGACTTAAAATAATTATATGATGCAAAGGATGGTCAGATTTGTTATGTTTATAATTGTATTAAGTACAATTAAGTATAAAGTTTTTATGGTGAACCATTTATAAGTTTGGAGCTTTTTTTCCTTCAGTGAAAATCAGAGAAAAACATGTATGTAAATTGCTTATCTTTTTTTTTATTTTTGCAATCTGGTTTCTACATTAAGAGTTGCTTATCTATGCTTTCAGATTTGGAATGAAAGAAATTACAATGCAGATTACATCAAGGTATTTAATGTAATTAAACGTATTTTGAAAATTACTAAAGAATTTATCTTTGGAAAGCAAATAATTATAAAGCACATTTCCATGTATGTATATAATATTTTATGTATGTCATATTTTACATATAAGCTTTTACTTTATGAAAACTACACTTAGGTTCTGCACCTATATTTAAGTGATTAATTTTTTTATTTTTTCAGTATCTTAAAATAATCCTCTATGAGTTTTTTTGTGACAAGTAATAGCCATAGATCTTACAAAATCACAGTTTTCAAAATAATAATGTTATATGGAAACTAAAAGTTTTCTTTTATACAGTATTGATAGATCTTATACCTTAAAAATATAATGACCTTGTTATTTTAGGTATTAAGGAAAACTCTAGACAGTGCCGGATTTAATATGACCCGTATTGTAGCCGCAGATGGATTGTGGGAACCTATTTCACTCAATATTGTGGCAGATTCTGCCCTAGCTAAAGCTGTAGATATCATTGGGTAAGTCAATGTTATCAATGCTAATTTAACCTGCTGAAATTCTTAAATGGACTTTATAAGCTTCCATTTTTATGCCTCTACTAAAGGGGGGGTTGCATTTAGATTTTTCCCTTGTTTGTCCATCCCTGAAACAATCGCTTAAAATGTTTCTGTTATCATATTCTAAAAACATGCCAAGTTGAAATTGTTTTCAACAGTTTAATTTTGCCTGTATGAAAACTCCCGAAAATGTCCTTAAGCATACTTTAGGAATTGAAATTGAGATTTGAAATTATTAATATGGGGGAAACCTAGATGTCAACATTGTAATAATTGGATGTTGTTTTTATGCTCCAACCACTTAGGAATAAGGGATGTCATGTTGAATTTTCTTTGTCTGTCCTATAACAATTAGAGAAACTGATAGCGAACAGCATTGAACTTGATCAGACTGCGCGGATGCGCAGGCTGGTCTGGATCAATGCTGGTCGCAAACGCACTATGTTGGTTTTGTCATGACACGGCTCATTTAATCATTGTATTTTGCCGAAATGGATTTTATTAGAACAGGATAGCATGAGACATAGACATGCCAAGTGTCATTTTGATGCGTCAAGTTTCAATTTCCTTTTATTACATACCCTTTTCATATCTTGTAATTATACACATGGATGTAAGTAAAGAAATTTATTTCAGCAGTGTGATAATACATTATATACATTATGTATTGCTGTAATATGAATTATGTTATATGCCTTACTGAAAAATTATTATATGATGCTGGATACATATTGTTCTTATTTTCTTGGATAGTTTAGTACACAAATTTAAGATCCAAAGAAATTTAATAAGTCTGCTTTAAGATTATTTTTGCATTGCATTATTACATTTTACTTTCTTACAAAAACAGACAGTTATCTAATTTAAAACCCCAAAAAATTCCTTTTTTAACAAAACCACAAAATTATCTGCACACAAAATAGAGTGAACGTGGTATAAAAGATTTAATTATATAGCAGTAATCTTGTTATAAAATGATGGACTTTATTTGTTGTGATAAATTACAGTGTTCATTATCCTGGAACAAAGAACAGTGAGATTGCAATGAAGACAGGAAAGCCTCTGTGGTCATCTGAAGATTATAGTACCTTCAATGATAATGTTGGCGCAGGGTGCTGGGCAAGGGTATGTAGAACATGTACACTTGAGTACCATTTGCCAGGGTATGAATCCCATTTAAGACTTTTTCTTATCTGTGGAAACAAAATCTATCAGAATATTTTTGAAAGTTGTTGATTCTGTCAGGGATTTGTACATTTGAGTACCTTTCGCCAGGGCATGAATCCTATTTAAAACTTTTTCATATCTATTGAAACGAAATATATCAGAATATTTTTGAAGGTTGTTGATGTTGTAAGGAACTTTTTTGTGTTTTAATTAATGAAATGAAAAATCTCAGAGCTTCCATCACTGGTAATAGCTGCAAAATTACCCTATGACCTGAACTGATAATGTGACTTGAGGCTTAGCAGATAAAAACATCTTAGACTGACCCAACAAGTACAAATTTTTTATAAGAGCCAGCTTGTCTTATAAAAAGAGGACGTTGTAACACTTTTGTAATTTTTTTTGCAAGGGCAATAAAATTTGTTCATGAAATATTTATTAAACCTAATCGTCTGTCTTTGTTGCCAGTGCACAAAGAGCAATCATGGTAGTGATTTATATACATGTAAGGTATCATATACAATGGTAGGGGAGCCAAATAGGCTACAATGTCATAACCGAGTCCAGCAAGATATACAAATGAAATGTATGCACATATATAATATATGTATAGATATTTAGAAAAGTGCTGTTGGCAAATTATTGCCTTGTCAAATGTGGGATATAATCTTTCCTTACTTTAAGTAATGAACTGCCAGTTCAAGTGTCAAAAAGCTAAGAGTTTTGTTGACCTAAAATTTCTGCATGCTGGTATGACTTCTGACAAATTATTATAGCTGATAGCATTCAAAGAGTTAAAGGAAATCCACTGATGTCCAAAACCCTAATAAACAGAATACATGTATTTGAATATTTTACATAGAACACCTTGAGTACATCAAACAGAAAGATAAACAAAAAATGATGAAGAATTATGCTCGGAAAAAAATTGTACATTGTATTTTTGAGCTATTTTGCCCAATTAGGTCATTTTTCACAATAACAATAACTATTCTGGAATAAACGGAATGAGAGAATAATCTTAAACTTTGCACACAAGTTATTGGTCTAGACCTACATCAAATGGTACATTTATCTCAGAAAATTATTTCTAGTCCCATCATGTCAAAATACCTCAGTGAGTCCCTTTAATATTAAAAAAAGAATTTTCTTTTCAGATATTAAACCAGAATTATGTGAATGGATATATGACAAGGTAAGTCTATTAACTTTGTATTGTAAGATATTTTTTTATTTTATTTAAAGATATGCTCTGCTCATCCTTTAGTAAAATATTTTAAACATGGAAATTTATCAAAATCTATAAAATTCTTACTGAACATGTCTAATTTGATTAAAAGAATGAATACACTATGTATGGGAAGCTGCCTTCTCCATTACGGATCAAGCGAAGTTGGTCTTTTCTTAAAAGACTGCCAGTTTATTAATGACACTATATATTCATATTGTGACCACCTATAGTGTGTAGAGTTTTAAACATAACATATCTACTTTAAAGTGAAGTCAAAACCTGTTTATATTTAAATTTATATTTACAAAGAGACTGAGTAGCAATTATCAATATTTTCTAATATCGAATTTGAGCATAGTATAAATTTAAATAAAGCATGTTACTGGAGAAGGGACAAATGGTTTTTAATTGGTACAAAAAAAGGTTCATTCTAGTATTTTAAACAGCACTATAACCGTTATTCATTTAACAGAAATATTTTCTACTAACTTCTTATTCAGTGGAAAATTCATTTAGCATAATGAAAATTAAAGAATACATATTTTATATTCTAGTAACCTAAATTTTAGAGGTTAACCTTTTTCCTCTATTGACATACAGACTTTGAGTACTATTTTATTTAATATAAGATAATTCAATTTATGTTATTGAAATGTATGTCATATTCAAAAAATATTGGAAATATTTTAAACTTGTATAAATAAGAAGTACAAGTTAGCTTCAGTAACCTTTTTGATGGGCTGGGCCGAGTGCGTGTTACCATGGCTATTCAGTATAACACGGAACACGCGTTATGCACAAGAATTTTGATAAAGTAATGCTCAAATTGAAGAGAATATTTTACAATCGCTGTACATACGAAAAATATTCTAAATTGAATGGGATTCGAAGATAGAAGATTTCTAGCCCTATTACTTTTTTAACAACCCTCGTACATGTATATTAATTTGAATAATCAGGTTATAAAACATGGTTACACTATTTTCAGTACAATATCGTGGAACTTAATCACCAGTTATTACGAGGCATTACCTTACACCAGAAATGGTTTGATGACAGCTGACAGTCCATGGAGTGGGTTCTACAGGGTGGATGCTCCAATATGGATGACAGGTAAAGTTAGAGAGTAATTCAAAAAGTTTGTAAAACTTTGTTACAAAAAACTGATATTCTCCACTGAATTTCTATTGCAACCATGGAGTTTCATAGCAACCAGTGACTTTCTACAGCAACCATTGACTTTCATAGCAAAAGGTGACTTTAAATAGCAATCAGTTACTCTCTTAGCAACCATTGATTTCCCATAGCAACCATTGATTTTCCATAGCAACCATTGACTTTCCATCAGAACCATTGACTTTCCATAGCAACTGCTTGCTTTCCTTAACAACAAGTGACTTATACAGACAGCTATCACTTTATAACAGCCATTGACTTTTCATGGCAAACTTTAAATTTCCATAGCAACTGGTGACTTACATAGCAAACATTGACCTTTTACATAGCAACCAGTCATAGCAAAGACTTCCATAGCAAGCACTTACTTTTCGTAGCAACGAGTAAAACTACCATTGAATTTCATAGCATTCAGTGACTTCCAATTTTGTATAGCAACCAGTGACTGATTTTGTACTTTAGCAACCAGTGACCAGTGACTTCTTTAGTAACTATTGTTTTCCCTTAGCAAAAGCAACCAGTAATGTTTTTACACATGCACTATTTCAGATACAAATATGAACTTTATGATATCAGTTTAAGATTTAGATTTTATATATCTGCTTTCACTTATAGTTTACAATATTACTTGTTCCTTTTCATTAAGAGTATTTATATTCAAGTGAGTGATTTTAGGGGCAATCATATGGCCCTCTTGTTTATCATAACTTCTTCATTTCTTATGTTATCTACGTCAAACTTCAAATATTTGTTACTTATTATTATTACCCACATCATGTGTGACAAGATTCATAACTCTTGCATGAATATTTTCAGAATTATTCCCTCATAGAACTTTTTAGATTTTATTTTATAAAAAAATTTTAATTTAAACTTTAAATCTAAGTTTCATATCAACTCCCATATAATAATTATATGACAAGGTTCATAACTCTAGCGTCAATATTTTCCAAATTATCTTCTCAAAAATTTCAAAAAAAAAAAAAAAATTCTGTAACTTCTTTATTGCTTCGGGGATGTCTGTTGAACTTTTATTGACATGGTCACATGCATATTATGTGGTGCAAATATATTGAACATTTGAGTGCTTTCTTGATACTGATACAGTTATATCATAATTGTTTTTTTTTCCATAGTTTTGTCTTCCTTTACTGCATCCAGTATTGAATTAGTTGAGCGCTGTTTGGTAGACATTCCAAGAATTCCTTCTCGCAGTAGGTTTTCAATAACTTTTGTGGATTTCAAATCTACAGCAATTGGGTAATTGATATATCAAATTATCATGCTTGACCTCTATGACCCTTTTGTAGTTAAAGTATTTGATACTGAAATTAATTGAGATAAAAATTTAACTTTCAGCTCACACAAGTCAGTTTGTATTTCCTGGATGGAACTATTTAGCACATGATTATGGAGTGACTAAGTTAAAGAATGGTGGTAGCATGGTCTCATTTGTCAGCTATGACAGCACACAACTTACTATTGTCATAGAAACTATGGTAATATATTAACAAACATATTATTACATTTATTAACCAAACTTTTTTTAAGGATTTCCTATTACCTAGGTATAGATATGTCTGAAACTTCAGATCTATAACTGTTAAATCATTGCACTGATTGAAAAAGTTTTGACATTGAATGTTTATCAGAAAGCACATTGTTTAGACCATGTGGTATTCGATTTAAGTATGTTTTAATTTCCATTAATGCAGATGTTTGAGTGTTTCATTTTTGGCCATAATTGTTGTGATCAAATCCTAAACTCTGAAACATGATATGAGCCACGTCACGACAAAACCAACATAATGGGTTTGTGACCAGCATGGATCCAGACCAGCCTGCGCATCCACACAGTCTGATCAGGATCCATGCTGTTCGCTATCAGTTTCTCTACTTGTAATAAAGTTGGTAAGCGAACAGCATGGATCCTGATCAGACTGCACGGATGCGCAGGCTGGTCTGGATCCATGCTGGTCGCAAATGCACTATGTTGGTTTTGTCGTGACGCGGCTCATATGTTTTATCATACACAATTTGATTATTTGATATATAAACTCTGAGAAATGGATACCGTTTTGGGAGTGAATAATACAAAGAGAAATAGTGAAAAGTATAGACTTAGTTTAATTGTATCTAGTCATAAGGTACATTCTGTGATAGCAAATGGTAGCATGACCTTCACTCCATTCGTAACTGCTAGTAAGTTCAACCTTATTCAGAACTTAAAGAATTCAGGTTGTAATAACGCATGAAGTTTAATAAATGTGTATAATTATGCTTTTAAAACAATTTTCAAACATCCAAGAGTATGTGAAATATGTATTGCAAATGTTTAAGAACATTATATGTAATAATTAAAATATATGCATTCATTTCTTATTTAAAAATTTGGCTTATACTTTATAGAAAATAATTTTTAAATTACCTCCCTTTATTAACATGAAATGTAAATTCGGTAATGTCTTTACAAATTATGCTTTTTGGAACTTACAATATATTCATTTGAGCATCATATTTATGATATAAAACCATAAAAAAATTTGAGTTACAGGATCTTTAAGTATACCATTTCATTCAAAGTTATATTTTTTTACATATTGGATCGTAATATCAGTTTGTTATTGAATTATCCCTTGTCATGTATTATAAATTGTATTTAGTCGTGCAAATATTAACATGTAAGTTTTATATTAATATTGACTGAGAGCTAGTTTTGATTTTGTTTTGTAGAGTCGCAATCATTCTATATGTGTACGGCCTTTTCTACCAGAGTATAATGTATCTGCTCAAACTGTGAAGCTACAGATGGCCGGATATTTTGTAAGTTAATTATGAATAATGTCTTGTTGTATACAGTACTGGACACGCAATACTCTCACTTTTCGCGTGTCCGCGCCAAACCCCCGTAATAATTTTTCTGTTTATGAACTTGTATAAGAACTAGATTATCCTAGATTTATCTATTGATTAAAGCTTTGGGCACACATTTATTTTTTGTAATTTTTTATTTTATGAAAAATAATAGTTCTTATACAAGTTCTGAAATGGAAAAAATTGTTTTTAATCATTTATTAGATATATAAGGTTTTTGATGAAGAAATCTGTTTCATATTCTTTATCATTTCATCAATAGTTTATATAGAATTCTGCATTTCTTTTTATTCTGCCATTACTTGTACTTTATAAGGTTAAAATACATTTTTGCCATTGGAGCAATAGTTAATTTAGTTTTCTGCATTTCTTGTCATTCCACCTTTAGTTTATACCATGTAGTAAGTAATCAAAGTTTTATTGTTATTTTCATCCATAATTTATAGAATAATCTGATCAATTATAATACATATACATGTATATATTAACAGGGAACTTTGTTCAAGTTGAATGTACGATACAGCAAACTAGGCTTTGATGGTGAAGATTCTGTTTTGTTTAAAGATTTGGGCTCAATTCCAGTAAGTGATGATACATTTGTATAGAATTTACAATAGAAATTATTTCTACATATGAGCCGCGTCACGACAAAACCAACAGAATGGGTTTGCGACCAGCATGGATCCAGATCAGCCTGCGCATCCGTGCAGTCTGATCAGGATCCATGCTGTTCGCTTACAAACCCTATTACAAGTAGAGAAACTGATAGCGAACAGCATGGATCCTGATCAGACTGTGCGGATGCGCAGGCTGGTCTATATCCATGCTGGTCGCAAACCCATTATGTTGGTTTTGTCGTGACACGGCTCATATTTTTGTCACATGATGTTACAAACCCCTCATGGCTGTAGGTTTGAAACTCTCAAGGCGTGTGTCTTTATGTGAGAAACTTATAAAGCAAACTTGTAAAATGTTTATGATTCTACTGCAATTGAATTAAAGCACAAAGCTGCACCAAGACAGTAATACATTGGTAAAGGGTTGAAAATTGTCACATGACTTTCATGCAGTCAGCGTGACGTAGCCCTTTCAATGCAATAATTGGTTTCTTTGTGGAAACACCCCTCTAGTAGTCAACTTAGTCAATACATAGTTATCTTCCTTGACCTGGCCTTAAAGTTGTAAAAAAAAATTCTGAACTCTTTCTCAAATCTCAAGATTTACATTGGTCTGGAGTACATTCTGGGCTGGTTTTTCTTACCAGTCAAATATCTGAGATCTGAGTTTGAGCTTGGAAAATTCTTTATAAACTTGGACTCAGAATGTGTCATAGAATTACCTAATTTATACATGATTTATACATATTACAGGTAATCAATGGTTCAGTAACATTAAATTATCTACTTTAGACATGATTTATACATATTACAGGTAATCAATGGTTCAATTACATTAAATTATCTACTTTGGACATGATTTATACATATTACAGGTAATCAATGGCTCAGTTACATTAAATCTTGATGTAGATGAAGTTTATACACTCACAACTCTGGTAGCAGGAAGTAAAGGAAACTACACCAATGTCCCAGCACAGAAACCTTTCCCTTTACCTTACACAGATAATTTTGAATGTAAGTGTTAGATTGCTTTATTTTATGTTACAGTAATAATGTTAACGTTCTGACAAAGGTTTTAAGAGATCTCTGTTAAATTAAAAGAAAAGTTAACATTGAAGCATTTTCTTCCTTGAGTTGTTGGTTAAAAGTTAGCTTGAAAAGATTTCACTTGTCCAGGTGATCGTTTTGGTTCTAATTTGGTCCTTTCAATATTGATACATACAAATCAATCTAATGTTTAGCCTTACAGTGTATGTATGGCCTATAAAAAGTATCATGAGGAAAATTGTTAAATTGATTATTCTACATGCAAACTATTTGGCACAATTTTTAATCTAAACATATGTTAGGTAGTAATATCTTTATCTAGGCTCCAACAAAAGAAACCATTTGTAATAAAACTGAAATGATTGACAGTTGTAGGTCTGACTATTTGATTTTCCATGTGGGAACTTACATTGATGAATTATAAAAATTTTATATTGAATTTCACAGAGTCTCAAAGTATATTTTTATCTTTTTGATACTGCATGCATAAGAAATACAAAAGATTGGCGGTCAAAAGGAGTATTTGAGCCGCCTCATGACAAAACCAACGTAATGCATTTGCGACCAGCATGGATTCAGACCAGGCTGTGTATCCGCGCAGTCTGATCAGGATCCATGCTGTTCGCTTACAAACCCTATAACAAGTAAAGAAACTGATAGCGAACAACATGGAACCTGATCAGACTGCACAGATGTGCATGCTGGTCTGGATCCATGCTGGTTGCAAACGCATTACGTTGGTTTTGTCGCACTGGGGCTCATTTGCTTTGTTTGTATCTGTACAAATACTTTTGACCTTGGATCCCCACAATATCTTCATTTTAGAAGCTATAGCAGATGAATTTTGACTGTCTTGTAAGTTACACTGATTTTGAAGTTCACAATTATATGAATTAAAGAAATTTTATCATAACTTTGATATTGTTAACAGAAGTTTAGAGGGTTATCGTGTCTCATGAAATCTTTTTATTTTGTATTATCATCGCAAGAATTGGCTGTCTGGTTTTAGTTCTGAATTTCAAACAAGATCTTCTATAAATGTTTAAATTGTTTTTCAACTTAAGAAACAAGGTTTTTCAAATTTGAAACATTGACACAGAGTTTTAAATTTTTTAATGTTATGGAACAGTCTTAGTTATGATTAAATGTCATTTTTTAGGTAAAGGAAAAATGAAAATAAAAGACCTTGACCGAAGTTTGATATGAAAATTTATATGTTCTATATATAGCCTATTCCAAGCATAATGAGCCATTTAATCTGGCTCAACAGATCGGAGCATATGAGGTGCTTGACTCGGCCTCGTCACACGGGAACATAATACGTCAGATGGTTACTGAGCATCCATGTGCCTGGTGCCAGGCTGAGGATGCCAACAGTACATTAAACCTCATCGGAGATTCAAGCTGGTATGATCATGGTATACGCGCAGCTTGGTGTAGAATGCATGTTTGCCCTTGATGCCCTATGTAACCTGTGATGTTCTCATATTTTTTTTGTTCAAGCTTAAAGTAGTCTTACTGTAATCCTTTCCCGCCAAAAATTTTCGACCAATGTTTTAATAAATGTTGTCTTTTCCGGAACGTTATTTTTCACAGTTTTCGGTAATTGGTATATTATATATATAATAGGTTATTAACCTAAATTTAGTACATATCGATAAGGAATGAGTGATTGTAAATAATCTAATACCCAAGATTTGAAAAAAATAATGTTCCGGAAATAACCGATTTGCTACAATATTGGCCGATGTTAGAATTTTTGGGCGGAAAAGCTTTACAGTATGACAACCTTAAGATATATATATATATATCCTGTGATTTGTGTTTAAGTTTTCATCATGAGTTATTTCACTTTAAGACATCTTGCTTTATAAAGTTTATAACGCATATATTTTAGTTTGATTGTGTAGGAAGCTATAATTTTATAGACACACCCTCAAATCCACTCCTGGAACCAACAAGTATTGAACAATGACTGTAAAATTTTTTGCTGGAGGATACAACAGCTTGCTCCTAATGGGTTTAAACCCACACTGCGAATGATACTTATTAAGTTAATAGACAGGCATGTTAATTCTCGGCCATGCAGCTTCTGACATCTTACTTTTGTTCTAAGTACATATAATCATTTTAATATTTTGTCATTTATTTGCCTGAGTATCCCTTTAACAATGGTATTGTTACATTCCAGCCAATGTTTTCTTTAAAAAATCCTATTTTTTTTTAAACTTGTCTATACAGTTTTAAAGGAGCTCCGCTGAAGTAAAAAGCCTTAAAATATAAAATTTGAAATTCTTACATACGGTAGATCAAGTGAAGCATTCAAAATGAAAAATCTGCAAAATAATAATAGTCATTTTGGGCAATAAAAATGAATGAAAATGTTTAATCTGGAAAAAAATTAAGTGAGGGAATGATATCTGAGAATTGCACACAAGCACAGGTGCTTGAAACAAACTTTTTTAAGTTATATATAGGCTATATACTATAATAAGATATACATAATTATATAGACCGATTATGTAAAATATTTGATTATGTGACTAGGGCCTGTGCACACAAGTTATTGGTCAAGACCTGCATTGCATGGTACACAAATTTTGTAAAAATAATTCCAGTTCCTTTATTCCAAAATCCTCAATAGTCTTTGAAATTAATTACTGGCCAGGGTCTTAAAGTGAAATGACAGTTTTATGAAAAACTTAACTTCTTTTCCTGATTTGTTTTGTGTTGTTTTGCTACCAGCTTTAGCTAGAAACATTTTTGTTTACAGTTTTCCTTTTCTGTCTCACTTCAGCTACTGCAATCTACAAGGAACCATTTAATTTCTCTCCCCAAGTCGGGACTTTTGAAGTTGTAAACACGACTGATATCTTCCATAGCCATGTGATGCGTCAGATGGTGATTGAAAATCCTATTTATTGGTGTTTGTTTATTGATTTGGTGTTCCCCATGGGGCTCCTTGGAGATTATAGCTGGTGAGACAAATTCTTGTCTATGGTTGTTTAAGGTGATTTGGGATGTCGATGAAGGCTTAGGACAGGTTACTGCACATTTAGGTTCTAATTGGCCGTCATACAGTGACCTACTTTTGGCTCAAAATTCTTATCTGTAGCTAATACTCTGAAGAAATTGCATGGAGGTAAATTAACACCATTTTGTGCTTCAAAATTGACTCTTTTAAGGGCATGACTGGTGACATGTCCGGGGTCCATACTAGAAAACTGCTTTTTTGTGCCATACACATTAAGCATAGACTTCATCGTCATCTTGAAAGCTTAGTAATAGTCACTGGCTGAAACAGAACAGAACAGAAACATTATTTCAGAAAGTACAAAATATAATCATATCCAGCTTTGTGCATGGAATATCTTTATGTAAGGTAGCAATTTTTAGGTTGAAGATAAGTTGGTGGTTCTACACAGGTGTTGAAGCATTGTTTATTGAATAATGGTGGGTCTCCTGAGAAATTCCTCCGACAATACAGCTGAAAGTTTGCAGTATAATGTTTAATCAATCTAATTAAAATCAGCTCCTAAATTACACTATGCATTAGGATCTAACATTCACCCATAGGCAGTCACCTTCTTGTGGTCTTTCAAACAACCAATCATTGGCGAGCTTTCATTATTTTGAAAGCAATGCTGTTTCTTATTTTAACCCTTGGAAAACCAATACTGAGTAGGTAATTTTCACGATTTCGAGAACAAACATGGCGTTGTCCATATAGCCAACAGGTAAACTGGCAAAACAATCTTGCCCATTAAAAATTGACTCTATTATTTCAAGTTAATTTGTTAAAAAATACTTAAAAAAAATTTTTCTCTGTAAAAGTCAACAATTTGTTTAACTTTCACAAATAACTGTATTTTGATACTTCTTCTAATGCCTATCTGTTAAAACCGGTTTGATAGCATGGCTAAAAATGGCTTTCTCAGGAAATACAAATTATAAAGAAGGCAAACATACATGTATACGGTGCTCATTAGATCTACATGAAAGAAATAAGTAGATCCGAATTTCAGTCAAATTAAATTTTTAGTTTGCTGGTATGATATTTAAGTAAAATGATTCCACAAAGAGTAATTCAATAGGGAGTGTTTGATGTCTATGGATAGCACAAGTTTTAAATGCAAGTGTATATTAGCAAAATTCTTACAAATTTGACCAAAAAATAACTGTGAAAAAGGTGGGTCCATGTGTCATGTACCCTAGTAATTAAATAAGAGCCGTGTCATGACAAAACCAACATAGTGGGTTTGCGACCAGCATGGATCCAGACCAGCCTGCGCATCCGCGCAGTATGATCAGGATCCATGCTGTTCACTTACAAACCCTATAGCAAGTAGAGAAACTGATAGCGAACAGCATGGATCCTGATTAGACTGCGCGGATGCGCAGATTAGTCTGGATCCATGCTGGTGGCAAACGCACTATGTTGGTTTTGTCATGACGCAGCTCAAATATGAAGACACAATGTCATACTTTCACAAAGCAGATAAGAATGAGTATAGCATGTAGAAACACTTATGAGTTAACTGGTCAGTGAACTGAAATACTATCACATACTGTTTCTGAATCCAAGTTCAATCAGTCAAAGTTTACTTGAAGTACATATAACTTCCATAAGCTATTAGGTCTATATCTGTGCAATTATTTTGGTTCTCTAGAAATATGTGAATGCACTCTGGATGTATTTATATCATATCTCTATCATACATTATAAAGAAATCTGACATATCGTAAGATTTTACTGTTTCATAAATATTGTACAATTTAATTTCTCTCCCCAAGTCGGAACTATTAAAATTGTAAACATCTGAATGATACAGTTTGATTTCTTTTCAACAGACACAGATTGTTTTTATTATAATTTCAAAGCTCTTATTCCATAGCAAGATTTTTAGAATTTGATTATAAGTCGTCGTGAGGTCTATAAGCCAAATTTACAAAATATGAAATTAAGTCTAAAGAAACATTTGTGTAAACTCTTTATTTGCTGTATTTGCATGTCTAATATTTGACATTGAAATTTTTATTTCTTGTTTTATAGGTCAGATATATATGTTGAGGCAGACACGAGGGTTGGGACAGTGAACGCCACTACTGGTGTATTTATAGCTGCTAGGATTAACAAAGGAGGCTGTGATTCTGTAGCTTCTGAGGGAATCTTCTATTTCTTGTTGCCAGCTGAAGGCACTCTTCTAGTCACCGGAGATTTAGGTATGATGTTCTTATATTATTGTATAGCTCTGGTGCTTTTTATGTAACAGAGTATAGAAAGGTATTTAATAGCATTTCTCCTGTTTATTTGTAGTTACATTTGGATTGTTTAATGCTCCCAACATCTGGGGACAAAGTCAAGGTCAGCCTGGTTAAAACAGATAACTGTAACCTACACAGATATCTGAGACAAATTTAAATTGGAACCCAAGTATTAGTTTACTTGAATAAGTCTGCAGGATTTTGCGAATTAAATGGTAACAAAAAGCAAATTTATTTGTAACAAAAAGCTTTGTTAGATGTTGTTGGTAAAGAGGTACACAACCCAATATTCAAATTTTACAGAAATGTAATAGAGCATAACAAAAATAAGATATATTGTCTTGTGTCAATTGTGGTCACTGCAGGTATATTTTACGAAAACTGTATTTATATTAGTATCTTAACAAACTTACATTAGAATAATTGTCAGCTTAATGTACACATTTGATTACGTGTAAACTGTTAGGCAAAAGTCAAGTGTTTAAACTGCCAAGCATCACACAAACATAATTGTTTTACATACTGTATAAAAACAAACTATAATAAAACAAGACAAACTATGTGAACATGTTAAAAGAAAAATAATAACTAGTATTATCAAACAACATTGACCTGGCACTCTTGCATTTGACCATGTTGACGGTATATTCCGTAGACGTTACAATCTACTTGCAAATCGATATGAGTGTAAATATCCAATTGTTAAAATGCTGTGAAATAAAAATCCTTCGTAGCCCAATTGGTGAAGGGGTTTTAATTGAAGACTGTAATAAACTGGTAGGTTCAAATCCTATTTCAGTGATTTTAATTCTTATTTTATTTTTTAAACTGCCATTTTCGTAAAACTATTTTTGTTGTGTGTATGTGTAGTATTTTAATAAAGTGTGTATGCTCTAAAGCATTCATGATTGCATAATGTCACAAAGAGAACCGTTGAAAAATAAAAACAAGAGGGCCATGATGGCCCTGAGGTCGCTCACCTGTATGTAGGCCCCCGGAGAAGGGCCAGTTTAAACCCCAGGGCTTTTATTTGAACAAACTTGGAAGACACCCATAAGAAGATGTTTCATGATGTAAACACTTATAATGAAAAACAATGATCTGCCCTTCCCCACACCCGGCAGGGCCATTTTTATCCAAGGGCTTTTATTTGAACAAACTTGGTAGACACCTATAAGAAGATGTTTCATGCTAAACATCTAAGCTCTAGCTCATTGGGTTTTTTAAAAGAAGATTTTTAAGTTTTTACTATACACATATAGTTAAAAACAATGACACCCCTGGGGCGGGGCCAGTTTTGACCCCAGGGCTTTTATTTGAACAAACTTTGTAGACACTTACTAGAACATGTTTCATGCTTAATATCTAAACTCTAGCTATTTGGGTTTTTTCAAAGAAGATTTTTAAGTTTTTCCTATACACATATAAGGAAAATCAATGAACCCTGGGGCAGGGCCAATTTTGACCCCAGGGCTTTTATTTGAACAAACTTTGTAGACACTCACTAGAAGATGTTCCATGCTTAATATCTAAACTCTAGCTATTTAGTTTTTTTCAAAAAATACTTTTTAAGTTTTTGCTATACACATATATAAGGAAAATCAATGACCCCCAGGGCAGGGCTAATTTTGACCCCAGGGCTTTTATTTGAACAAACTTGTAAGACACCTATAAGAACATGTTTCATGCTAAATATCTTAGCTCTAGCTCTTTGAGTTCTTTAAAAGAAGATTTTTTAAGTTTTTACTATATACATATAGGAAAAATCAATGACCCCCTGGGGCGGGGCCAATTTTGACCCCAGGGCTTTTATTTGAACAAACTTGGTAGACACCCATTAGAACATGTTTCATGCTAAATATCTTAGCTCTAGCTCTTTGAGTTCTTTAAAAGAAGATTATTTAAGTTTATACTATATACATATTGGGAAAATCAATGACCCCCTGGGGCGGGGCCAAATTTGACCCCAGGGCTTTTATTTGATCAAACTTGGTAGACACTCATTAGAACATGTTTCATGCTAAATATCTTAGCTCTAATTCTTTGGGTTCTTTAAAAGAAAATTTTTTAAGTTTTTGCTATATGCATATAGGGAAAATCAATGACCCCCTGGGGCGGGGCCAAATTTGACCCCAGGGCTTTTATTTGATCAAACTTGGTAGACACTCATTAGAACATGTTTCATGATTAATATCTTAGCTCTAGTTCTTTTGGTTCTTTAAAAGAAGATTTTTTAAGTTTTTGCTATATGCATATAGGGAAAATCAATGACCCCCTGGGGCGGGGCCAATTTTGACCCCAGGGCTTTTATTTGAACAAACTTGGTAGACACTCACAAGAAGATGTTTCATGCAAAATATCTAAGCTCTAGCTCTTTGGGTTTTTTAAAAGAAGATAATTAAAGTTTTTTCTTTCGGTTGCCATGGCAACTAGAGTTCTGTATGGAATTAAATTCTTTGAACAATTTTTAAAGGTGACCACCATAGGAACATTCCTGTGAAGTTTGGATGAAATTGGCTTAGTGGTTTATGAGGAGATGTCATTTAAAGTAAAAGTTTACGGACGGACGATGGACAAAAAGTGATCACAAAAGCTCACCCTGTCACTTTGTGACAGGTGAGCTAAAAAACCAATTGTCTTAAAAGGAATTCTAAAACACGGTGTAGTAAACCGATTTTAAATTAATTCTTGCAACAGCATGGATCCAGAACCAGCCTGCGCATCCGGGCAGTCTGATCAGGATTCATGCTGTTTGCTATCAGTTTCTCTACTTGTAATAGAGCTGGTAAGCGAACAGTATGGATCCTGATCAGATTGTCTGGATCCATGCTGGTCGCAAACACACTATGTTGGTTTTGTTGTGACATGGCTCATTTATATTTTAGGGATTTTGATAAGAAATTTTTGTATTGTGATGTTTTCATAGAATAAAATGGATTTGTAACCGGTATACTTTATATTGATGTTTGATACTGAAATAAAGTGATGGGCTTATCAGTTATCTTATGGTCATGCTACAGTACCAGAAATATTTTTGTCAGTTTTATTAACATTATAAATGCTTACACACATATAAATAATGTACCATAAAAGTGTATGTTATTTATAAAAACAATGTTAAGGGGGGGGGGGGGGTCACATTTAATCCTTGCCAAAATATGTGTGCTAAACATAGGTTAAACATATATTTTTCACAACAATAAAGTGTTGTTTAACATGTTTGGTATTAGCACTGTGTTTTTAGCTCACCTGAGCTTTTTTTTATCATTGAATGTTCGTCATCTGTCACATTTACTTTGTTAAACCCACCCACATTTTTGCTTCAATTTATCACCAAACTTGATCAGGATGTTTGTCCCTCAAAAGTAGTTTCTTGGGAAAGCATTGGGTTGGTTAAAATGGATTTCTATGACAAGTTAAAAATAATGTGTCATCTGGGTCAAACACCTAGGTAACACAGCCATATATGGAAAAACCTTGTTTAAAATTTTTGCACTATTTCCTTTTCCACTGTTACTTTTCATTTATAAGCAACACTATTATTAATTAAAAGCCTTATAATCAGGTGAGCGATTTAATGACCATCATAGCCCTCCTGTTATTTAGTTTTTTAGCCTTCACTTGCAACAAAGTGCCAGGTGAGCTTTTAGGATGGGCACCAAAATGGCGTCCGTCGTCTGTCCGTCCGTCCACATTTTGAATATTCTAGGACTTTCTTCTATGATACCGCAAGGCCAATGTTAATGAAAACTTGACAGGAATACTCTTTGTATGAAGCTCTATCAAGATTGTTCAAAGAATTCCATTTCATGCAAACTCTGGTTGCCATGGCAACCGAAAGAAAAAATCTTTAAATATCTTCTTTTAAAGAACCATAAGAGCTAGAGCTTAGATATTTGGCATGAAACATCTTCTAATGAGTGTCCACCAAGTTTGTTCAAATAAAAGCCCTAGGGTCAAAATTGGCCCCGCCCCAGGGGGTCATTGATTTTCCCTATATGCATATAGTAAAAACTTAAAAAAATCTTCTTTTAAAGAACCCAAAGAGCTAGAGCTAAGATATTTGGCATGAAAGATCTTCTAGTGGGTGTCTACCAAGTTTGTTCAAATAAAAGCCCTGGGGTCAAAATTGGCCCCGCCCCAGGGGGTCATTGATTTTCCCTATATGCATATAGTAAAAACTTTAAAAATCTTCTTTTAAAGGACTGTAAAGCTAGAGCTTAGATATTTGGCATGAAACATCTTCAAGTGAATGTCTACCAAGTTTGTTCAAATAAAAGCCCTGGGGTCAAAATTGGCCCCGCCCCAGGGGGTCATTGATTTTCCCTATATGCATATAGTAAAAACTTAAAAAATCTTCTTTTAAAGAACCCAAAGAGCTAGAGCTAGGATATTTAGCATGAAACATCTTCTAATGAGTGTCTACTCAGTTTGTTCAAATAAAAGCCCTGAGGTCAAAATTGGCCCTGCCCCAGGGGGTCATTGATTTTCCCTATATGCATATAGTAAAAATCTAAAAAATCTTCTTTAAAAGAACCGTAAGAGCTAGAGCTTAGATATTTGGCATGAAACATCTTCTAGTGAATGTCTACCAAGTTTGTTCAAATAAAAGCCCTGGGGTCAAAATTGGCCCCGTCCCAGGGTGTCATAGATTTTCCCTATATGCATATAGTAAAAACTTAAAAAATCTTCTTTTAAAGAACCCAAAGAGCTAGAGCTAAGATATTTAGCATGAAACATCTTCTTATGGGTGTCTACCAAGTTTGTTCAAATAAAAGCCCTGGGGTCAAAATTGGCCCCGCCCCAGGGGGTCATTGATTTTCCCTATATGCATATAGTAAAAACTTAAAAAAATCTTCTTTTAAAGAACTCAAAGAGCTAGAGCTAAGATATTTAGCATGAAACATGTTCTAATGGGTGTCTACCAAGTATGTTCAAATAAAAGCCCTGGGGTCAAA